GCTGTTCCCATTGCCTGGACTACTTTTCCACCAGAGTCCTATGGTTTACTTCTTCACCTCCTTCAAGTCTTTGCTTAAATGTCACCTTCTCTGTGAGGCCTTCTCTGACCATTCTAATAAAGATTTCGATACCCTCTACCCACACTCCTAACTCTATCCTGCTCATTTTTCCCACAAAGCACTGCTCATCATCACCATACGTTTTACTTACTTATTAAATGTATTGTCTATCTTTTCCCCCTAGAATATAAGTTTCATGAGGCCAGAACTTTTTGACTGACTTATTCATGGATGTATCCTCAGTGCCTAGAATCGAGTCTGGCACATAGTTGGTCTGGCCACCACGTACTGCCTCACAGGACACACCATTTGTATGGGAATGCTACCCTCCTCGAGTTGTGCAACCTATCAGCCCCATGGGATCTCAATAAACATTTGTTGAATCAAATCAACATGTTTTGCCATAGTATTTTAAGTATACGTCTGTCAACAATCTCTTGAAAAATCTCTGGTATTGAAGGAACACTTGGAGAGTTTAGAGACTCATAGACCAAAGGAAGATATTTATAACAGCCCCTGGATTGTGGGTTTAAAACTACCTACACCACCATAAATACTGTTTACTAACTAAACAAAGTATTTTGAATTCCACTGGAGGTGGGCAAATTGGCTATGTTTTGGAACTCTACATAATCACTATTTTCCCACAAGATAATTGAACAGTAAGTGTTATTTTAAGTAGTCTTGGAAGAATTCCCAGTTTCACTGTAGGAAAAGAGAAGTTTGTGTCCTGGGATTTTGTTTTGTTTTGAGAATAAGCACACACGCCTGTTCATGCAGCTCTTTTGTCTGATTGTGACTAAGTTAAATCCATTCCTTCAAAGAGGCTTTGCCATCCTTCGGCAGGTTTACCCACTAACTTATCCTCTTTCCCACCTTTGTAACATGCTCTCCTGGCATGTTTCTTCCTGCTACAGCTGATTACGTAAAATTTTACAGATAAATATATCAGCCTCCCTCATCTTCCTGTCTGATTAATTTAAGAATTTCACAATTCCCTCGGAGTAGCCATTGGTGATGTCATAGGCTTTCCTTATGAGAATGAGTTGTCAGGAACCAGGATTTCACCCAGGCCTCGGGGTGCAAGTGAGGAGGAGAGTCTACTGGAAACGTTGCCAATAAATGAGGTGGGCAGTGGTTTTTGAAACACTGTCTGTAGTCACTAGCATGATCTGTAGGCTACTTACTAACGTGGTTCACGATGTTTAAAGAATGAGTCATATATGATAAGGACACCTTTGTTGTTCTTCAGCAGTCACCAGAAAGGTCTGGCTTCGCCCAGTTTTCTATTGCTTTGTGTTAAGAGTTTAATATGGCATAATACTGCCAGAGATTTATATGTATTCTTTGAGAGAATTTCAAGTTCTTTCGCATCCTTCTTAAGGGGCACACAACTGTGCAGATACTTGCTTTCTCTTCTTCCTGTCTGATTAATGTAGGAGGGCCGTAACTCTCACAGTGGTGCTGGAGGTGTCGTAAGCCCTCCAGAGCCGCGAGATTATCAAATCCTGAAATCTTTGAAGAGGTGGGAGGAGGTGAGGGGGAGACTGTCCAGGGAACGCTTAGTCAACAGAAAACACCAAGTAGCCTTTTGAGCTACTGTTTTCATTGAGAAAACGGGTAGCTAGTGGTGCAGCTTTACTTCTGGAGGCTCTGAGGAAAAAAATGGTTAAATTTTAGATGAGAATCACTTAACTTTAGTTCCTCAGTGTGTTTCTCTTGGGCTCTGGTGAGGATGGAGGGGAATGTGCACCACAGCCGTCCCCCAATGACCACATTTGGTACTATCTGAACATACACTGTTCTTCCCAGCGTTGTACACAGTACAGCCTGGGCCCCGCAGTGGGGATGTGTTCTTACAGGGTGACCTTGGCTGGTGTCCCTCCCCTGTGCAGCCTCCTTATAAACCACACAGCCACACTCCCCATCACTGTAGGTGTGACCTGGCCCTCAGTTTCCAGTTTCTACTCCTTGATGATTCGGGAACCCAAGCCACCTGTTCAGATAGTTTTCCCAGTCTGGGCCCTCTTTCAGCAAAGAGGAGGAAGGACAGACTAAGGATTAAAGGCTTGGCCTTCAGAATCAGTTACACTTGGCTCTCACTAGGCGTGTGAACGTGAGTAAATTGCTCATCTCTCTGTGTCTCAGTGGTTCCATCTGTAAAAAGGAGATAAAATAATCACACACTTGTTTTGCGTATTAGATAACGTTTGGAAAGCCTCACACACAGTACCAGCTGTTGTAAGGTTTGCTGTAGTTAATATCAGTTCCCAGCATGCCGAGGGGCAGAGCCACACTTCCTATTATAGTTTCTTGCTATAAGGTGCTATTTTGTTCCCTACAGGATCCACAGTCAGCTTTGGCTTAAAAAAACACAAGTTTGTGCAGAGTAGATATGTGGAGACTGAATCAGGAACAGCTGACGGAACAGTGATAGTATAATACTTTCCTCTCAACTTGGTTGAGTTTTTTCACCTCTTTTTTTTTTTTTTACTTTAACTAGGACAAAAAGAAATGCTTCTCTATAAGAACAGAAATAAAAATTGTCTACTTAACGTTTCCTCAACCAAAAGAGTTCTTTTAAATAATAATGTAGAATCATCCATTCATTTGTTTTTTCATTTATTCGTACAACAAGTAGTTAGTCAGTGCTGGGGGCACACTGCCTACCCCCATGGACGTTTCCTCTCCAGTGGGGGATTTAGTCAGTAGGCAGGCAGTTAGAGAGTAATGGGATAAAAGTGCCAGGGAAAGGTCAGAGGCTATGGAAGTACTCAGGAAAGCCACCTTGCCCAGATTTGGAAGAGCCAGGGGACTTCCCGGAGGAAGTGGGCTTAATGGGAGTCTAACTAATGAGTAGAACTTTGCCAGGAAGGGAACAGTATGTGTGAAAGTCTAGAAGCGAGAGACACTCTGATTTGGTGGAGGAACTGAGTTTATTATGACTGAAATATAGAGTTTTAGGAAGGTGCATGAAAAGAAACGGGGTTGGAAAGTAAGCAAGAGCCAGATTATCTCTTTACTTTTTTCTTATACTTTAAGAAGTGTCCTGCACACAAAAATCCAAGATAATGCTGTATAGTACCACTATGGAATGAAGACCAAGGACTCGTAAAGGTGGAGAAAATCCAGCAGCTGGAAGACAGTTTTCACCATCCAGAGTCTTCATATGTTTCCTAATTTCCTCTGAGTTGTCATGAATGTGAAGAACATCAGATATGCTCAAACATGCATTTCAAATTCTACTACTGACTCTCCCCCTCCATTAAAATGACTATTGGGACTTACTAATATCTGACACTTAGATTTCTATCTTTTTCAAAAACTTTAACGTATGTGCCTGGTATTATTATAATTCTGTCTAAAGGTAATATTTTAACAGGTAAATTATGCTAAATTATCTGCTCATAAGAAGACAGAAATCTTTCAACTCTACCCTTAATGAAAGTTAACTGAATTAAAGTATTCTAGAATGTTCTATAAAATATTAGTTTGAGACTAATAGTACAAGATGAATAAGGGGAGAAACTTATTACCATTAACTGTCTTTCAAAATAATCCATGTTTTTCCCTTTCCATGATTGTTCATGCTGTTCCCTCTGCTAAGAATACTGACTACCACCTTCGTCCTTCAATGTCCATTTTTGCTTCCTTTGACCATTTTAATGTTTATTCCAGAGGGAAACTTATTCATATCTTTTTGTTCACTTGTATTATTATTATTTTACTTGTCATGCATTTTAAACAGTTGTGCTAGATTTAGTAGACAGGAGTGTGCCTTAGTCTTGTTTTATGCACTGTAGCACTTAGCATGGGGCACGTGTTGTTTAATGGATAATGAAAAAATATTTATACAGAAGGCTATGAAACAAATTATACAGAATTCGTTTCACAGATAGATAATCTAATCCTTCCCAACTTTAACAAGAAAAAAACATTGAATCAAATATGCTTTCTTAGTAACTAGGTGCTGCTGAATAATTAACTTGCTGTAGTTTCTAAAGATCAGACTCTTACATAGAGTCTTTCTGTCCATTCTTCTCTGTCCAGAAGTGTCAGGTGAGTGGTTCTACAGGGAAATGCATAGTCTCCAGTTGGAGAAGCTCTGTAGGAAGTGAAACTAACCAAAGGGAGGATGTGAGCACCAGTCTCTGATCTCTACATCCTATAGTCTGGCTATAAACATGTTACACATAGGGAGAGCCCCAGTAGTATATTTGCAAAGGATCCCTGATATAGACAGTAAACACAAGCCACTTAGATAACCCATCTACTCCCTAAGTAAGTTAACATATGAAAACGTTCAGGGCACAGAAAGCGCTCAACAAATGTTAGTTTTTGCTTTTGGTTTTAATATTATTTCATTCTTTAGAGCTATACTGACCACTATGTGCCACTAGCCACATGCAGCTACAGAGCACTTGAAATGTTACTTGTCTTTATTGATATGTGCTCTAAGTATAAAATACACACTGAATTTCAATGACTTAATGTGGAAAAAAGAATGTCAAATAGCCCATTAATAATATTTATATTGATTGCATGCTAGTTTGGATATATTAAGTTAAATAAAATATATTATATAAGTTAATTTCACCTGGTGCTTTTTATTTTATTAATGCGGGTGCTAGAAAATTTTAAATTACGTATGTAATTTTACTCACATTGTGGCTTGCATTATATTTCTGTTGGACAGCACTACTTTAGAGAGGCCTCCCACGATGTTGTGGCAGGACAGCTGTATTGCAGACATTCAGCAAGGATCTTGATCAACAAAGAGGAAAGGAAAATGATCAAATTCTAGCTGAACAAATATGAACTGTTTACTTGTTAAAAATTGAAATTAAATGTATTTTTTTTCACTGTTTTGTGGTCAGTCTTATCTTTAAGAAACTATAGCTAACATTTTATGGCTAATGAAAAATAATTCCTATTTCTAGGTTACTGGTTGGTTCACCTTGGAGTGGCTTTCCTGAGAACCGAATGGGAGATGTGTATAAATGTCCTGTTGATCTATCTACTGCTACATGTGAAAAGCTGAATTTGCAAAGTAAGTGGTAATTAGCAATGTGATTTTTTACAAATGACAAAAATCTCAATTGTCATATACCTGAATGAAAAACAACAACAAAACCAACCATAGTTCTGTCTTAAGGAAATATAGACAGCTTATTTTTGCCTTTATTTCTTTAGTCGTATGGGGCCAAATTGTATCCAAATTTCCAACACAGTTTGAAGACATAATTTAATAAGATGCATGGGAAATGTTTTGCCTCCTGGAACATCTACTTTCCAGACTATTGGAGGGACCATCTACCCTCCAGAATTATTTTGCTGATTACTTACAGAAATCTGAGGCTATCCATGCCTCTCTCTCCTCAAAACAAACCATTAAGTATAGAAATGTCAGCACTAGGGCTGATTTTGGAGGTGCTGAGAACACTGTGTGTTTCTCATCATATCTAAATGATTTTATTCTAATAAAAACATTCACAATTTGGAATTATTTGTAATTGTTTGGCATTGCTGTTTTAATTATCCACATCTCAGATGCTTTCTGTTAATGCAAAAAGTTACTAAAGGTACAAAACTGGAAAGCTAAATGAATCATCTTTCCACACCTTCCTGATGCAAGTAAAAAGTTACTCAGTTTGATCATCATCACTTTTCAAAAAAAAACAAGCACTAAGAAGTCACAGAGTTCTGAAGAATTAAGGCATGAATTAGGAAAATACAGTGTTATGGAAATCAAAGGCAAAAAGATTCAAAAATAATGGTTAAGACTTAGAAACAGTGCAGGAGTGTTTCTTACACATCCCTGTATACCTAATTTCTAGCATAATTTCTGGCATATAGTAGGGGCTCAATAAGCATATTTTCAGTGAGGTAGAAGGAGTATCAGGGTGTCAAATGCTACAGAGGTTGAAGAGTGTGAGGACTGAGTAAAGATCATCAGCTTATTTGAGGAGGTTGTAGGTGATCTAGATCAGTGCTCCCAAAACATTTTGAACACTCACCAGATGTATATAATACATGTATATACATATGTAAAATTTCTAAAAATAATAAATATATATACATTAGGGTTGAGTGCTAGAAAATTTTATTATATAGTTCAAAAGTTTTATTATATCACCCCTAAAGTATCATATTCCCTCTAACATTTGAACATTCACCCCTAAAGTATACTTTTTTAAATTATATACATGTACTGACATATTATCTTTCAAAATAAAAATAAATTCAAAAGAATAAAAACATACACATAGAAGTTCTATTATTTTCCTTCTGTCTCAGGAAATCATATTTTGTAACTTTCTTGCCTAGAGTATAAATCCAGTATTATTGAGGGGAGAAAATAGATTACAGAGAATTTAGGTGCGGGTGAGTAGTGAGCAAGTACGGGGAGTGAAAGTAGACCTGCATTTCCAGAAGTTGAGTAGAGAAGGAGAACTGGGAAAATAGTTTCATGGAGTAGCAGAGTTAGGAGAAGATTTTTCTAATAAAAAGGAGATGATCCTGTTTGTAGGGAGAGTGGAAGGAGGTGATAAAAAGGGAGTGATTTTTCGTCAAGAATAGAGTTAACTGGGTGGAATTAACATCACTGGTACCTGGGAAAATAAGTCTTAGAAAGAATGCTCCCTTCTCTAAGACACAGGAAAGTGAACAAGTAGTTCTAAGAATGACCTTTGGGTAAGGATGAGAAAAGCTGAGACTACCCTTCGAGGGTGATTGTCTTCTCTGGAGTAGACAGGCTATTCACAGATATTGATGGGACTCTGGTTGAGTTTGGAGGCTTGAGAAGAAGGGGAAAGTTGTAAAATGGTCACCCTGAGAAACGGAGGATAAATGAAAGTAGCAAAGTTGGCTTGGCAGAGATTAAAGAACATGAGTAAATAATGATATTATTGAGGAGAACTGCAGTGTCCAATAGCTCAAGAATGGATACAGTGGATGATGCCCTAGTTCAGTGGGAGAGAGGAGGTTGGAGACATTTATTTATTATTTTACATGGCTAGTATCGTGATTTCCTTTTAAAATTTACCTGCTATTGTGTTGAGCCAGAATCTACCATATGGCATTTTGTGATAACACTTTAAGGATATTTTTACTGATTCAGAAAAAAGCATTAGATAGAGCCTTGGAAATAGCAGAGATGGCAAACTTGAGACCAAATGGTGTCCTCAGATGTGTCGTGTTTGACCGGCACTTTGATTTTTAAAAAAATTTAAATTTAAATGTCTATAATTTGTGCCCTCTGCAGACCCCACCCCGTAATATCTTACATTCTGCAGCCTTGCACATTTAAGTGAGCTGTCGGATCACTGAAGGTATCTCATTTTCCTACACTTGATCACATAATGTGAACACCTGGACATATAACACTAAATTCAATGCTACACATGAATATGAGTGTGTGTGTGTTTTTTAAACAACTTTAAATAAATAGTGAAGATTTAGTCACTTTTTAAAATCTTTTCCCCTTTGAAAGCCTCCACGAGCATTCCCAATGTCACCGAGATGAAAACCAACATGAGCCTTGGCTTGACGCTCACAAGGAACGTGGGAACTGGAGGATTTCTCGTGAGTATTTACCTTTCAAATCCTCATTCCCCTCAAGAAAGTATGAAGTCAGTGTCTTCTTATCATCCCTCCTATCAAATCTAATCTTGATGTTTAAATATTAGAGCATGCTTTTGGATAAATCATGCTATGTGGATATCCAACGTGAACTAACAATCTGTTGATGTGAATGCTTCTTAAGATACTCAGCAAGACCATCGCCACAGAATGATATGGAAAAGGGGAGCAAAAGAAACAGCGATTCTTTGCTCTTGGAAAGTGTGCTTAGTATTTGTTGATAACAGCTGAATTCCAGGTCTCATTTTTACTTCCTGTAGGAACATTCAAGAGAGGTATTACTGATTCAGAAAGTAGGCTTCAAAGCTAAAAAGTATTTTTGTTTTTAATCATTTCCTAAAACCATTGGCTAATCTGGTATTATTTAAGGTGTGGCTCAGTCTCTTATCTTATTTCGTGTTAACATTTACTCTCATTTAGTTTCTAGAATGCTGTGAAAAGACATCACAAATCAGTGAAATAGAATGCCATATTTAACTGGTGTTCTGGGAACAATTAATTGGTTAATAACTTGCATATCCAAATGCACTTTCAAGTGGATTAAAGAGTTAATGTAAAAAACTAGAAGAAAATGGAAATTTTCTGAAAGAGGGAAGAATTTCTGAGCTTAGAACTAACAAAAAATAATATAGGAAATAGTTGAAAATATTTGACTATACAAAAAATGAAAACCATCACACACCAAAAAAAAATTTTAAAGGCAAATAAAAACCCAATCTTATGCGACATTTCCGCCAGCTCATATAGGTGTATCATAGTTGTATTGCCCTGTTAAAATCATCTTAGAAAGCTTAATTTAACTTTACATTAGTTATCTATACCATTGGCATGCTAACTTAAAAGCCCACGTGTATAACTGGATTATTCCAAAAACATAATCGATTTTGAACAGTGTCATTCTACTTTTACTAATAGATATTAGTATTCAGACAGACTTTGGTACCACTAAGTAAATCAACTATTGCTTATAATGTGTGTTCCGTCAATGCATAAGTGAATATTGCAATGAATCTTCATGGTTTATGATATTCCAAAGTCTTTGTTATAGGGTTGCTTTCATCTTTTGTTTGCTTGTTTTTAAGGTTGAATAAATTTAGAAAGAGGAACATATTGAGATATAGGGATTATGGACCATGCTTCAAAAGTTTTAATCTGTAAATTCAGGTAAAGTAAAATAAATTTGCAAGAGAATTTGATAGATTAATTTGGCAATCAATGTAGCAAGCAGAGAGGGAGGGAGGGGGGGGAGAGAGAGAGAAAAGAAAAAGAAAGAAGAAAGAAAAAAGCCAAAGTTTCCTTTACATACCTAAAAGGTCAACATCTTAAGATACTCTTAAGAATTATGTGGAAAAGACTGACAATCATCACATTTTTTTGAAACTTTTTAAGTTCTGGGCTTAAAGCAAGAATGTAGTTTTGGCATTAACAATTGGCATATTCTAATTTCAACTTCTTAATGCTGTTTTCCATTGCTTTTAAAACAAAGAAAAAATCTTTTTCGAATACCTCATGAGTTATTATTCTTCAAGGTGATAAAAAAAACAATTTGGGGATGGGGATCTAGGAATCAATAATTGGAATCTGTTATGTGGTAAACTACCCAGGGCATCAGTCATGATTTTCCCCTAATTGGCAAAATAAACCAGTTTTATAGGGGGAAAAACTATGCCCTGTTCATTGAGTGTGAAATATGACTACAGCTGCTTCTCCTCTGAGCTACCAACAATTAAACTGGGTCAAATAAATTCATTTTTTGTTCTCCCAATTGCTTTTTGCAAGTCAACACTTTTTTGCTCAGGTTTAATAATTGATCCACAGTTTGCCTAATGTTAAACTTGGTAGATGTTTTTTAAGATCTTGACTAGACTTCTCTTTCCCATTTTTTTTCCTTTTACATCTAGCAATTTTAATATTATTTAATCTAGTATTTCCCATGTGATTTAATCAAGAGTTCTTGGCATTTGAGGGCTGCTCAAAAGGGGAGATTTGGGGTTGTGTTAATGGAGATATTAAGAGTTGGAACACATACGATGTGGGCAAGGAGACTAGTGCCGGTCTTGATGACTGAAGGTTTTAGGGAGAGGAAACAGGAGTCTGAAGTCCTCAGAGAAATACTTTATAACGAAATTTAAAACTGGCAATTCATGAACCTCATTTGTGTTTGTTTAGCTCATAGAATGTTTTTTTTTAACTGAATTTTCACACAAAACTTGCTCTCTCTGACTGTCCTTGAAAATTTGGGGGATCTGGCAACACAGGGGCTGAGTCACACCAGTTACTGAGCAGGAGCCGTAGTGGCCTGCCCCATATATAAGGTGTGGGCTCTTCATCCACCTTGACGTCTATAGCTGGCCCCGAGCACTCTTCTGAGGTTCCTGCCTGGCCCTTGGGGACATGTGGGTTTATGGTTTCTGCTGAATAGTGTAAATGGAAGGGACAGGAGGAGACCTATGTTCAAGAATGGCAACAATAATGACGCTGGCTAACAGTTATATACCACTTGCTATTTACCCAGCACTGTTCTAGGTGTTTTACATCTATAGACCCAATGAATCTTCACAACAACCTTAAAAGATAGGAGGTATGATTATCCTCATTTTACAGATGAAGCACCTGAGGCCCTGGTAACTGAGACACAAAAAATGAACTGTGCACTCATTTTTCTCTGGGGTTTTCTCTGAAAGAAAAGCACCCCTTTCCTCTAGCTTGGTAGGTGACCTGATGGGCTTCTCCCTACGCTGACACCTGCCCTGACAGTCTCAGTGCCCCTCCTCCTGAGAGGCCTGCCACTGGGCACAGCACATCGGCCACCTTCTCCCTCACTGGTTTGCTCCAGTGCACTTGCACTCAAAGCCATTTTGTCAGTTTTGAGAGTTGACGATTCCTAGTATCTGGTAAAAGAATAGAAATGATTTCTGAGTTTCACAAATGGAGAGGTAGCGGGCTAACCTTTTCCGTGTGTTTTGTCATTGTTCTCATTTCTTTGAAGACATGTGGTCCCCTGTGGGCACAGCAGTGCGGGAGCCAATATTACACAACTGGTGTTTGTTCTGACGTCAGTCCCGATTTTCAGCTCTCGGCCAGCTTTTCACCTGCAGTTCAGAGTAAGTGACGAATGTGCAGAGGGTCTGAGCAGGGCCTTACAGTAAAGGTGGGGGAAAAATTTATCAAGTGCCAGCCAACCCCTCAAGTCTATTTTGCTGTAAGTCTCATTTTTGTATCGGTGTCAAGTTTGACTCACTTATGGAAATCTGTTTCCTTCATCCTTCCTGTGTAGCCTGCCCTTCCCTCATAGACGTTGTGGTTGTATGTGATGAATCCAACAGTATTTATCCCTGGGATGCAGTAAAGAATTTTTTGGAGAAATTTGTACAAGGCCTGGATATAGGCCCCACAAAAACACAGGTATGGATGTCAATAATACATACACTAACCTATCGCTTTCTTTCTGAGAAAATATTGTTGGATATGAGGTCTTCATTTTTGCATTTGTCAAGTCGTCATATTAAATGCATTTAATGGTAATCTTGAAAGTTCATTGAAGCTTGTACTATATTGAGTTTTTCTGTCTCTGACTTTGCCCAATGCCAGTCTTTGAGCTTAGATTACTATTTCTGACACAGCCATCAGATATGGGATATAACATTTTCATCCTCTTTAGTTGTTTATCTTTTCCTCCTCTAACTCATGAATTTACCAATACATTTTAAAATCCAATATGTATTTTTTTGTTACTCACACTTGAACTGATAATCAATTCCTTTTGTTTACTTCTTGCTGGTAAAACAATTATCCTTGAATTCTGGGATTTTTGTAAATAAGTCCATAGACAGCACAGTTCTACCTTTATTATTTTAGAGTCTTTTATCGTATTCTAGTCTGGTCTTCCTTGTTTTACACAGGACAAGTCTTTTCAATAATTTTGTATATCTCTCTATGTTTTAATTTTCTTTTCTATCTTTTTGAGGTAGGCAACCAAAACTCAGGAGCAGAAGCTTCATGCTTCTGTAAAGCTGAATAGCATTTATTTTTTAAAGTTTTGGGTTTTTTCTTTTCTTTCTTATTGGATCTGCCATTTCACGGGCCATTCTGAACCAATGTCAACAGGGACCAGTTCACAGAGTTACCAGTGTATGTTCCTGGGTTGCATCTGATGTTCCAGTGTCTAACATCTAGTAACAATTGCTGGAACATTTTTCCCTAAATGCTTTGCAGTTATCTGTATTGAAATTTGTTTTTTTGCTTTCCTGTACAATATTGTAAAATATTGTTACACGTTTTCCTCATTGACATTGCTTTTCAATACCAAGAAGACGTTAATGTCCACTGAAACTTTGGAGGTTTCACTGTAGCTTTTGCCAGAAAATTCTGTTAAGTAAGACTGGGTATAGCACTTGTTTCTGGAGAACATCGCTATGAAGGCTCCTCATAGAAGTTTTCATATGTATCTGCTTATTTTCTCTGTCTCTAAATGGATTACCCCCACAACATGACTTATTGTATTTAATAGTCTCGCATATGGAATTCTTGGCCTTCCTCTTCTTGTGTTTCTACCCCAGTGCGTCGTCGTCTTCTCTAGAGGTGGTTTTGCTCAGTCTCTTTTCTTACAATCTAAATTTGACCTTTCTGTAAGTCCTAATATACCTCATTTCTTTAAATCTTCCATTCAGCCTTTCCTTTTCTCACACAGATGTTGTGGTGCTGTGTCATGGGAGTCACTACTATCTTTCTCTCATATTAAACTTCGAAATCCTCAGAGTTATTTTTTGATCCTTTTCTTTTCCTCAAGTCTTACATCCTATCCTAAAGAGACGGGTCCAGCAATATCATATTTTTTGCCATCTTCCAGGTGCCTAGTTAACTGTCTTTCTAGCAAAATAGCTGATTGAATTCAGAAATCCAGGCCTTGCCCCTTCCACCTTCCTTACCTACTGACCTCTATTCCAGAGACCCTTTTACCACTCACCTCTTATTGCCACTTCCTGTTCTGGAAACCCCAATTCCTAGGCATAGAGGATGATTTCACTGCCGAGAACAAGAACATTAACAGAGGTGTCTGACCTTCTTGATCTAAAGGATTAGGGAATGTGCCCGAACATTTTGTTCAGAAGTTGTTGTGTCTCTTGGCTCTCTCAAGTAAGACTCTCTAATGACATTTTCTCTGAAGACCAGAAACTTTCTGCCCCACATGCACATATAGCAGCTTTCCTCCGGAGATGCTGACGTCTGTGATTAGAGGAAATCCAACACAATAAATACGTCCAAATTGACGGCATTAATTAATACATTGGTTTTTCTTGTATTCAACTCTAATTCTTTGTTTACTGTATAATTATACTCAGTTGGTGAAATCTTATCTTCCATCTATGACTGCTTATAATTGTTTACATATTTATATCCATTGGTAATTAGAAAATGTATTTATATCACTGTATTCTTCCTGTGAACTTTATTTTAATATTTATGTTAAAATATTATAGGACCGTGATTAAAAATCTACAACTCTTACTCTTGAGAACCAAATCATACACAATAGCACATCATCTCACTTATCAATAAGTAGTGCTGCTGTACACTGGCTGCCTCTAACAAAGTAGTCACTACATTGGGAAAAAAATAACTATTCTTAAGAACAAAGTTGGAAATGATTCCCTTAAGCTATCAGTCCAAGTCTAAATGCACTTTTGATTTTTATTATACTGATTAAATAGAAATGATTTATAACTTAATGACAACCCTTTAATAAACCTCTGCTCTCTTGAAGGTGGGGTTAATTCAATATGCCAATAATCCAAGAGTTGTGTTTAACCTGAACACTTATAAAACTAAAGCTGAAATGACTGAAGCAACATCCCAGACATTCCAATATGGTGGGGACCTCACAAATACATTCAAAGCAATTCAATATGCAAGGTAAGTTATGATGCTAATAGGCCAATATTTTGATAAAATAGAAATGCTTATAAGTAAGAAAAAGGAAAGAAAAGACAAAGAAAAATAATATACCTGGTACTTACCCTTAAATCAGAACTAATAAAGAAGAAAAGTTTGAACATTCTGTAACTTGAACACTTTGAGAAGGCAGTAGGAAATGAAATTTAAAAATCTTTGATTTCCAGGACTTTTATGAGATATTACATGATTTTTTAAGATTTTATATACTTTAGCTTAAAATAGCAAGAAATGGAGCGACCTGCAATTATTTGTTAATATTTATCAAGGCCACAGAAGACTTGAGCTAATGGAGCACTTCATGCAAATTAAGAAGAGCCATAGAACCGTAAATGTTAATGACCTGGGAGTCTGAATTTAATTGAATCAGTTTATGATCCATATTACAATCTGGGGCAGTGTGAATTTTATAGCTCTATAGCACTTTCCTAATTCTTAGCTCAGTTTCTCTGTTTTCTCTGCACCGCTGACCTTCATCTTCACTCTGTTTTCATCAGATATCTTTATAAAAATGCTAAACAGTCTCCTATTGTTAAAAAATAAATGAGAACAATAAAGTCACCCTCCCTTAAACCTACTTGCTGCCTTTTTTATCTTGTGCATTCTTCCTTCTACTCCCACAATTCCTTGAAAGAGGTGCCTATGCTCCCTCCCTCACTTGACACATATGGCTCTGCCATGAGGTAAACATGGCCCTCTCAATCGCCCAGCAACCCAGTGGTCCTGCCTCAAGCCTCATCTTCTTTAGCTTCCCTGAACATTTGATAATGAGGAGCACGCACTGCTATTCCTGCCCCAGTTACCATGACATCACAAACTTCTAGAATCCCTGCCAATTTTTCTCAACAACTCTGCCTCTTCACTGGCTCCTTTTCCTATTTTTTCTCCACTAAACAGAGCCCTCTTTTTCTGTCGCCCTTTTCTCTCAGGTGTTGTATACTCTCACGGTGTCAGCATCAGCCCTATGTGGGTTACCCCATTGCTGTGTTGTCAGCCCTGAACTCGCTCCCAAAATTCACACAGGCATCCAGCTGACGCCGAATATCTTTATGTGGAGTGTTGGCTCACTTATCAAATTCAGTACATCCTAAACCTGCCTTATTCTCTTCCCTACCCTTCCACATGACTTTGCCATTTTGAGTCATGCTACCTCCTTTTCCCCCAGTCACTCAGAGTTAAAACTTGATGGTTTTCTTTGTTCTTTCTGCCCCTCCTTAGATCACATATCTGGTCAGTCACCACATCCTGTCATTTGTATTTCTGAATTCCCTCTTACGTCTCTTCCTCCTTTTTTCTGGGTGTGTATTCTAGTTGCTGCTTCTATCAAACTAGTGACTCTCCCTATATGTCTCAAAAGCGGATCCCCGACAAGAGAAGATATGATTGATTTGGTTAATCCTTATTGTCCCTATTAAGATGTCCTTTTGGGCCAAGCTATCTCCTAGGCTGCTGGCCAGTCAATAGGTCAGCTGCCATTAGGCGGAGTGCCCTTCCTGGTCCAGTCAACTAAACTTAGGGGGAGAGTAAGTTGACATAGGAAATGGCAGAGGAGTTAGAAATGGCAGAGGGTCTGTATTTCCAGCAGGGAATATAGGTGTGCCATCTTTCCCTGGAAGGAGCCTGAGGGCCTGGCAAGCTTTCTTCTCGAGGAGAATGGCTACTGTTAAGATGGAACTCCATGGCTTTCATCATCTTTGCAAATCTTTGGTTTTCTCCCTGTGCCATTATCTCTCTCTCACCACTATTTCCCAAGCTAACAGGAGTCTTTCCAGTGTTAGGAGAATCATCTAACTTCTTACGCACACCTTCCAGAATTTAATTACCTCTATTTCTTTTTTTTTTTTTGATCTCTTTCTTTGCAACATCAAATAGAATTCTGACATTCTTTCAGTAAATATTGCCGTTTTCCATTCATCTTATTTCACTGAGTGCCTACAGTTGCAATTTATTGCACCAAGCCTGCAGGTAATCAAAACTAAATGAGGCACACATTCTACCCTCAGCATACTTATCATCCTACATGAGCTCTATGGTATGTCAGAAAGAGTATAATTCACTCCAAAGGTATTTGATGTGAGTAGGATAATTCAAATTTGTCTGGCTGACAAATATGAAATATTTTTCTATATTTCTATATTCTACTATATAGAAACATAAAAATTTTAGGAAATAAAATGATATTCTCAGTTTTAAACATGTTGAATTTAAAGTGCCCCTGACATATTCAGGTGAAAATATTCAGTGACCGTTGAGTACATAAATTTGAAGATGGTAAGGATGAATGGAAAGAGATATAGATTTTAAGGTGTCTTCATATCAGTGGTAGTTAATACAAAGGAGTGGATGACATTACCCAGAAAGAAGGTGCAACCAGAGAATCCAATAGGCAGAAAAAAAAGTCATTGGACAGCTGGCTAACCATCTAGAAAAAAAATAAGGCTGAATCCCTGCCTCACTCCTTGAATCAAAATAAATTTCAGCTGGACCAAAAATTTAAATCTAAGGAAAATGAAACTATTAAAGGATTATGAGAAAACTTGGGTGATTAAAGAAAAAAGTCTTAGAGATAAGAAGTCCTTTTAAAATACCATGTCAAGTATAAAAGACACACAAAAAGTTAATGGATTTAGTTATATGAAAGTATAAAATTTCTGTGCAGAATTAATACCACTAAAATTCAAAAGATGATTAATAAACTGAGGAAATTATTTACAATATATATGACACAGGATAATTTTCTTTATTAAGAAACAGATCTTACTAACCAGGAAAGTGATGAACAACACACAGAAAAATGGGCAATGATAAAGAAAAAGCAAGAGATCTTGCAGAAAGAAATATAACTGGTTAATAAATATATAAAAATGCTCATCATCCCTTTATACTCAAAAATGCAATTAAAACCATTATATCTTGTTTCTTACTTATCAGAATATCCCAAATTAAAAAGTCAATAATCCTCATTGTTAAGGAAAGGAGGTGGAGAAACTTACATTCTTGTGTACTGATGGTAATATAAATTGGTGGAAATTTTGAAGGGAAATTTGACGTTATCTATCAAAATATTTTTTCTCTTCCTTTTTTACTTATTTTTTAAATTTTTATTTATTTATTTATTTTTTGCTGAGGAAGATTCGCCCTGAGCTAACATCTGTTGCCAATCTTCCTCTTTTTGTATATGAGCTGCCATCACAGCATGGCCCCTGACAAGTGGTGTATGTATATGCCCAGGAACGGAACCCAGGCCACCGAAGTGGAGCACACCGAACTGAACCACTAGACCACCAGGGCTGGCCCTTATCACAATTTCAAATGTGTAAATCCTTTGTCCCAATAATTTCACTGCTGAGATTTTATCCTATCGATACATTTGAAAAAGTATGCCAAGATATATACACAAGGACATTCATTACAGTATCCCTTGTAAAACTCAAAATGGCCTAAGTGCACAATAATGGGGAATTGGTTAAATAAACTATGGTTCCTCCAAATAATGAAATATTATGCAGCCATTAAAAAAGGAGAGCTTTATATGTACTGATATGAAAAGATCTACATCAAAAAGAAAAACAACTATATAGTATATGCCCCCATTTGTATAAAAGTTTAGGAGTAGACTATGCATATCCATCTAGAGAAAGCATTTTCTAGAAGGAAACATAAACTGATAAGAGTGGTTACCTTTGTCACAGTGGCTTGGCGTCAGGTTTTTGTTTTACATCTTTCCAAGTACTTTGAATTTCTTTTACCATGTGTATCTATTACTTTTTAAAAAACAATTTAGTATTGAAAAAGTAAATGCAGATCCAATGAATAAAATTTATGACAGGAATGAATATCTTTGCTCTGATGATTGACATTAATGAATTTAATTTTCTTATCAGAAGATAATTGTAAGGGTTCCTGATGTAAATGCACACACACACATACATACATGTACACATACACACCATGGAAGCCATGGAAATAATTTTTAATGCTAAGCAAAATTTATATTTTTACATATTTCTCTACAAGCTACAAATAGGGTATAGTTACGTCACCAGGACTGACAGAGAGAGAAATTGTAAGTCATGATAGATTATGCTCGAAGAAGTTAGTTCCATATTTATATTTATTTATATTTATGTTTATATTACATTACCTAACCAGAGGTCCACATAGTAACTTCATCTTTTGATAATGAGTCTTTAATCTTATCTGCCGCAGAGATTCCGCTTATTCAGCAGCTGCTGGTGGACGACCAGGTGCTACCAAAGTCATGGTGGTTGTAACTGATGGTGAATCACACGATGGTTCCATGTTGAAAGCCGTGATTGATCAATGCAACGACGACAATATACTGAGGTTTGGCATAGCAGTAAGTGGGTTTTCTTTTTACTTGTCTTTCAGTTGATGGGTAAATGTTCCTTTATAGTATCATTTCCCAAGACTGCATTTTCTTATTTGCTATTCAAAGCTTAAAAGAAAATTTTTACTCTATCTCTGCTTCTTGCTGATTTTCAGTCCTGTCAGCTAAGGGGATGTGGAGATGTTGCTGGATTTATTTCTCCAGAGGACTTATTATTTTCAGAAAAGCCTAGAAAGTGCTAATTGGGAAATTAGAGTACAGCGGTAATGACCTTTTTTTCTTCTTTCTCTATTCTCAAGGTTCTTGGGTACTTAAACAGAAACGCCCTTGACACTAAAAATTTAATAAAAGAAATTAAAGCAATTGCCAGTATTCCAACAGAAAGGTACTTTTTCAATGTGTCTGATGAAGCAGCTCTACTAGAAAAGGCTGGGACGTTAGGAGAACAAATTTTCAGCATTGAAGGTAAAAGAGCTCCTTCTTTCATGAATTTTCTTTCAAAAACTTTTTTCAAGAACTCTTGATTTTATTACCACCTACTTGCTCTATTAATGTTAAGCTGTGTACATTGTATAAAAAGAACTCCTATACATCAGTAAGAAAAATAGCAAAGAACATGCATAAGTAGTTTATAAGCAATAAAATGCAAATGGCCAATAGCCCTGGTGGTCTAGTGGTTAAGCTTCAGCACTCTCCAGGTTCGTTTCCCGGTCATGGAACCACACCACCCGTCTGTCAGTTGTCATCCTGTGGTGGCTGCTCACAGAGAGAACTAAACTAACAATAGGACATACAACCATGCACTGAAGCTTAAAAGACAAAAAGAAAAGAAAATATTCCCAATTTCAGTAATTATTTAAAAATATAAATTAAATCAATGTTACTTTGTGCTAAAAGATAATAAAGATTAGTGACGTTTAATCTTGGAGAGATTATGGGGAAGCAAAGAAGCTCATACACTGTCGATAAGATTATAGGTTGTATCACCTTTTTGAGGGGCAATTTAGTAATATGTGTTATAATCATAAATAGTTTTGCTGTTTTACACTGTGTAAATAGTCTTTATAATCATACAATATTTTACCTTTTTATACTGTTATATAATTTCTAAAATTTGTGAATTTGTTTACAACAAGCATGTATACTTTTAAAATTAGAAACATACAGTGAAGATTTTTTTTCTTTTTTTTTGTGAGGAAGATCAGTCCTGTGCTAACATCTGCCAATCCTCCTCTTTTTTTTTTTTTTTTTTTGCTGAGGAAGACTGGCCCTGGGCTAACATCCCTGCCCATCTTCCTCCACTTTATATGGGACGCTGCCACAACAGGGCTTGCCAAGCTGTGCGTCAGTGCGCGCCCGGGATCTGAACTGGCGAACCCCGGGCTGCCGCAGCGGAGCGTGCGCACTTAACCGCTTGTGCCACAGGGCTGGCCCCTGAAGATTTTTAATATTTCAGATTTCGAGGAAACATTTGTTTACCAGATCGCCAATAATTTACTTACATGGCCTCGGAAGGTTGAGTCAGTGTAGCCATATCACCTGTTCAAGAGCTGGCTGTGTGAGGGTCTGGAGCCCACTTCCCAGTTGGTAACAAGTCCCTCATGAGCCAGATCCTGGTTCCTGATGGTTAACCTAAATGACTTCCAGCAATAAGGAGTGTATTTTATTGAGCACCTACTGTATGTCAGGTACTGCTTCAGAAGCTGCGTCCAAGGGGATTGCATGAATGAAGTATTCATGCCTACTCCTGTGATCAAATCTTCTTCTCCTGATTATCCACTGGGAAGGTCTATCTAAAAAATTTTACTGCTTCTGAAACATCCCAGGGTGCTTCTAAGTTGTTTAAATCATCATCAAAATCTAATGTGCCCTGAGATCATATAAAATTATTTGGCTACCGTGGTAATAATTTTGTTTGTGGTGGCATGAATATGAACAATGGCAATACAATCTAAATGATTTTGTGTATTATCTGCTATTATGGATTTTGGAGGAACACTGCTGTACTTTATTAAAAATTATCTCTACTCATCCTGTATAAATTATTACATCTCCTAAACAAGTGACTATATCATGCGGTATAGATTGTCTTCTCTGTATTAATGTAGAAGTCAAGGAATTTAGTTTCTTTTTTGTGAAGATTAGTTAAGTATAACCATTTTGACCGCACTGTATGGAAAATGAATTCTAATTGAGTCTTGTGATGCTAGTGTCAGAGGCAAGCACATATGTAGACAAAGTTCCCAATTGGTAAAATTCCTATTCAGTCTTGAATCCTGGTTCCTGAAGCCTAATCCACATATCTCTCAGCATAGTCTTCACTACACATCAATTACCTAGCTCCTCCTACTGTATCTGAGATATTTGTGCATTTATTACTACCAATATTTAAAAGCTAAAAATTTAGTTAGTTTTTTAGCTGGTAATGATATTTTTTTTAAAAAAAAAAAAGACCATCACCTCAGTTTTCATTTTACCTCATCCCCTATGTTGAGGGTTCTTTGATATCAGGAACTTCATAAATATACTAATAAATAAGTTAACGCTTACTCAAGACGAGTGCCAACTTCAAACACTACCTTGGAAGTATCATGGATTTCTATATCTGTTAGAACACTTCCTTAGTGATTTCTCCCTCCCAGAATCTGCCAGCTCTATATTTTTGAGTGAACATCAGAACACCGTGTGTGTGTATGTGTGCGTGTGTGCATGCATGTGTGTTTGAAAATTTGATTTAAAACTGATGACAGTGAAATAATTTTTGAAACTGCCATTTCCCAGGCACTGTTCAAGGAGGAGACAACTTCCAGATGGAAATGTCACAAGTGGGATTCAGCGCAGATTACTCTCCTCAAAATGTGTGTATATCAGATAACTTCCAGCCATGCTGTCGTTTGGCTTAACACTTCTGAGCACAATAGCCTTATACGTAAAATGGGAAAAACAGCCATCTAGTGATCAACAGTTCTGAGTCCTAGTCATAGTCATTTCGTTTCTTTGTTCTGCTGATTTATCATCTGAAAAATGAAGGTTAATAATGCCTGCCCTTCCCTATTTCACAGGGATTTTTTATGGAAACAAAAAAATGATAATATACAAGAAAGATTTGGGCGCTCCAGGGGACAGGCACTATATTAATTCCAGGTATTATCATTGCAGGAATTTCCTTTGAATTAATTAACTACTGGAAAAGTTTGTTAAAAACACAAGCTCTTGTCATTACTTCATTGAATTCTGACTTGCTGTTCTTTTTTCTAAGAGCAGAGACAGAAAATAGTTGAAAAAGTAGGGAGTTAGGAAAAATTTGAGATGGGAAGTCTTGTTAGCTCGGGGAAGTCCATTCTTCTTTCTCGGAAACATCCATCTCCCAGGCCTCTGATTTTAATTCTACTCAGGAGATGAGTGGAGTAACAGCGGCAAAGACACACGTGACCCCGGGAAATACTTAGGGAACAAGATGAACTCAGAGGATTTGATTGGCAGGACAAAGGACGAGGAACAGCTTATTTTCTCTCTAGAATAAAAGGTGCTAACTTTTTCTGGATCACCAATCGTTAGAGAATGCTCATAAAATTTATGGGTCTTTCCCTCAGAAAAAATTGTAAATGAACCCACACGGAGAATTTCACACACAATTTCCTGAGGTTTTTATACACTCCCTGAAGTCCCTTCCTGCACCCCAGATTCAGAATCCTGGATTTATGACAATTATTTACCTAATTTCATGTTCTTTTATCCTCGAAATGGGACACCTCATTTCCCTATTTCCTATTTTCTTAGTGGCTTGTATTTTTCAATCCAAAATTGTGTCTTAGATGTTTTCTAAGATCTAAGACAAAAAACTTAAAAATAATAAATCTCATCCTGATCACTCCTGCCTTCTGCGATGACTTATAGCTTTGAATATTCAGATTGGCTTTTGCGTCAATTCGGAGTAGCCTGTCCTCCCTGGTCCTGCCCCCCAACCCCTGGTGCTGACCAATGGCTATTTTCCTTCCAATAGATTGGCTATCACACTACAGAGGCCTTTTGTAGCTGTGCTATTTTCAAATAGATGGGATAGGATAGAGATGATAGAGAAACACTTGAGAAGGAGTCCGGAAGAAAGTTGAAAATTGAATAGAATATCCCAAGACACGCCTGGGACAGCAGCACCAGCCCACCTCTCATCCTCTGTCAGCACACTTCCTGTTTCTCAAGCATGCCTCAGATCAACTGTGAGCTTTTCTTACAAATCTGTGGGACTAGAGGCTTGCTTCTGACTCCTTTCTAAAGGCTCATAACTGTTCAGCATTTGCAAATACGTGCCTTTGAATGGAAATTTCAAGATGGCTATGTGTTCCTCCTGATCTGTAGCTTATTAAAAAGATTTATCTATATAATGTGTCATACTAAATAAAGCCAAGATAACACAGCCCATGAGAAGGTTTGTTCTCCTCTCCAGTACAAATATATTGAAACAATTCTGAGATATATCGACATACATTCATATAATTTTACTTTATCATGCTTCGTTTTTTCCTTAAATCTAGACAATTTATTTCAACGTTTTGCCTACTCTGCATTGTTATGCTTTAAGGACATTTGTTTTAATGATCTTCATTTTTCAATTATTTTAGGATATTCTGATGCTGGGGGCAGTAGGAGCTTATGACTGGAGTGGGACTGTTGTCCAGCAGTCATCTCACGGACACTTGATCTTTCCTAAACAAGCCTTTGACCAACTTCTGCAAGACAGAAATCACAGCTCATATTTAGGTAAGGCATGGCAGCATTTGGCTCAGCAAATTTAAGTTCCGTTCTTTTAAACTAGCATCTTGTTGAACTCAGGATCAGTTCAGCAACTCCCTTGAACCATCATCTAATTATCGTATTTATTACACATATTTATGTTGCCTCTTTGCCAATCAGGCCTTCACCCATAAATACTTAAAGAAATGCTGTATTATACTCGCTCAACTTCTGGCTGTTCAAGCAGTTGTTATTCCTGGGACATGATTACATTTCTCCAAAATGGAAATAGTTCCTAAAAACCAATACAGTAAGTGGTAGTCTTCTATTATTTTAGAGTTCTTAATTTTTTTGTTCCTATAATAAAAGGCCACCGATTTTGAGCACCTACTATGGGACAGGGCTTTTCTATCTACATAAACATTTAAATCCTTCCAACAACTCTCTGAGGGAAGTGTTATTATCCCCATTTTACTTTTGAGAGCCAGCTGGGTTAATAAATAAAAAAGGTAAGCAATTTAGTAAGTGGCAAATCCAGAATTTGAACCTGGGACGTCTGACTCCGAAGCCTTTGTTCTTTCTAGTGTGCAATATTACCTTTTACATTCATTTACTGATTCATTCAAGAAATATTTGTTGGGTGCCAGGTCCATGATGGTTGATGGGGACAACCCAGAATGTAAGACCAGCTTTATAGGTCGATGTTCCACCTACACGGGGCAGTGCTGCCGGTCAAAGGGCAGGAGCAGTTCATGTTAGAAAAAGGAAGATGTGGCTTCAGTGATACAGTCAGGAGCACTAGGAACTGCTCATCACACCTAGCAAAAAAGGACCTCTGGTCATCTCTACTAACTTTGCAAGCTTATCTGGCTGAGATGTTCAATAGTACCTACTCTGTAACTCCTTCTCTCCTAGGTTACTCTGTGGCTGCGATTTCTACTGGAAAAAGCATCCACTTTGTTGCTGGTGCTCCTCGGGCAAATTATACTGGCCAGATAGTGCTGTACAGTGTTAATGAGAATGGCAACATCACAATTATTCAGACTCACAGAGGTGACCAGGTAAATTCCATCGTTTAGCAGGTGAAATTAATTTTAGGGACAACTGGGGCAGGTGGGGAGTTGGGAGTTGGTAGAAATGAAAACTAACGTTTATTGAGTGCCTATCCTGTGGCTGGCTCTGTAATCTGCATTTACTTGAATATTCCTTGAATCTTCACAATACTGAGGTCTGTCATCCCTTTTTGACAGGTGATTGAGAGTTTAACTACCTTTCTAAGGTCACAGAGCTTTCATGGGGTTGAGCTGTCGTTAAAACCCAATCCCATGTGGCCTCAAAGCCTGTGCTGTTTGGTTACATCCCACTCCATATTTTTGACTCCCCAGATTAATAATGCATAGGTATTATTTAGTCGTGAAAACAGGCTCCTAACCACTGCTTTGTAGGCAAGCGCCTACTGGGAGCCAAGGATCTGGAGGAGAAATAACGAGAAGCGAGCGGTATAGCATTATAAGGACCAAGCTACTACATGTGTGCCCGTCAAGATGTCCTGTGGCTTTGATATTTCTATATGTAAAGCAAATCTCTTCTCTATCACTTTCTACTGATGCGTGACAGTTCGGTAGTTAGGACTCATGATGACTCCCAGTCATGGCCCACTAAAACAAAGCCCAGCTGATAGACTCCTGTTTCCTTACTAAGCAGTTATGACCCATGGGTTTGGCACATGTTTGAAATGAACATCACTGATCTCTGATAACCAATAGAAATTGTCCTTCCTAGAGTTGGAGAAACTGACTATCCACAGATTTCTTTTCTCTGAGATTCAGTCTGATCCCACTGTCTCTGTGGATTTTCCAGGAGTACGAAGACCTGAGTCTTTGACTTCCTTGACTGCAAACCAGCTGTGGTCACATACTTTTCCCTCCTCTTTAATATTTTAAAGAAGGGTGCTTTTATTTTGAGAAAAACAATGAAAGTGTTATAGAAGGAATAATTTCATGTTCATTTCTGAATCCTTGAGAGATATTCACATAGGTATGCATTGAACATTGGTTGAATGGGATGAACACTCAAATTCCCAGCCCCTCACTTTACTTTACCTCCACCCAGTCCTCCCACCCCAATCTGTCCGGGAACCACTCTCCTGCCCCAGATCACGCCGTGGACACTTACGTCACTAGTGCTTTCCCACTCCCCTCCACCTAGAAAACTCCTTGTCCTCTTTTTTTTTTTTTAAAGATTTTATTTATTTATTTTTTGCGCCCCCCAAAGCCCCAGTAGATAGTTATATGTCATAGCTGCACATCCTTCTAGTTGCTGTATGTGGGACGCGGCCTCAGCATGGCCGGAGAAGCGGTGCGTTGGTGCGTGCCCGGGATCTGAACCCGGGCCGCCAGTAGCAGAGCTCGCGCAATTAACCGCTAAACCATGGCGCCGGCCCTCCTTGTCCTCTTTTAAGATGCAATTCAAATACTACTTAATCTTTCTAAGCCTTCCTGACTCCCCTGCACTCTGATCACACAGCATTTGGTACTTGCCTCTATTACAATATATTTTACCATGGAAGCACAATTATTTGTTCCACCTCCCTCTTCCCCGCCTACTTTTCTCTACAACACATCTCACATACTCTTCAAGTGTTTCTCTTAGAACACCACCACCAGCATCAGAAACACCTGGAATGCTTATTTGGAATACTGTTTTCTAGGTCACACCCTAGACAGTACATCAATATCTCTGGAAATGTGTCTCAGGAATCTATATCTTAAAGATGCTTTCTTGGTTATTTTTGTACACACTAAGGTTTAAGAATCAAGTGTTAGGTGGTGCTACAACCTGAGACAAGGGACTATGTTCTCCATCTTTATGTTCCTAGCACCTTGCAAGTAGTAAATACTCAATTGTTGTTTGTTGAATGAGTAAATAAAAATTTATTGTAATGTTAGGAGCATATGAACCCTAGGAAACCTAAGGTAACTATGCTTTATTACTCCAGATTGGCTCCTATTTTGGTAGTGTGCTGTGTTCAGTTGATGTGGATAAAGACACCATTACAGATGTGCTCTTGGTAGGTGCACCGACGTACATGAATGACCTAAAGAAAGAGGAAGGAAGAGTCTACCTGTTTACTATCACAAAGGTAAAAAAAAATAATTATCAAACTGACATCATTTAATTTGCTTTCATATTGGTAAATAAAAGTTCATCTACATTTTTGCAAAATAAGGAAAATTTATTATTATTGAATGATAATTTTCGTATATAATATGGTTTATATTTCATCATTGTGAGAATGTCACCATTAAGTTATAATTTTAAAAATCATATTAAAAAGCATAACCTAGAGTTTAATGTATAGTGCACTACCATTTTCCATGAGAGGTCTTTGAATACATACTCCCTTATACAAATGAAGTCATTATAAATGGATACAATTTTTGAAATATACACACATGCACATACACACGAATATCTGTGTATTTCCCAAGTATCTCATTCCATTATTCTTTGCTGTAAAGAGATAACAACAATAGGGCAAAACTATCTTGTTAACATTTTACAGTGAAAAAGACAAATTGTACCAGGCACTTTGAAAACCTCTATATAATCCCCGATGCTTTCTACATTAGTTTGTCAGGAAATTCCATTGCTTAGTGCAACATTGAGGTATATACCCAGCTCTTGGAATTTCCAGTCTAACACATGATACTTAGCATACCCTAACATGGAAAAGTTCAATTTTTCCAACTTGTAGACGGAACTCTCTAAATCCATTCATATAAGTATAGTGAACTCAGTGAAACCTGAAAAGAAAGCCAGAATCAAGGGTGCAGGTTGACATAGAAATGAGATGACCATATAAGGGAAAGGATGGAAAAAGAGAAGTTGATATTAATATAGTAATTATTATGCTTAGCTGTTGTGATATTTTGTCCGACTTTATTTATTTAAATTAATGTAAAAATTAGCCCTTGAACAGAAGCAATTAAAACAATCCTAAAGCACATAAAGAAGGTATAATTGACTAATACGGGAATGTCAAATCTGTTTGAAAATTTAACAAATCCCCAGTTTCTTAAACATTTCTTGCATGTGAAATATTCTGAATTGTCATTAATTTTTGAAGATTAGAAGACCCTCTAATATCTTATCACACTCAGTAGCAAATTGATTTCCATAAGATTATTAGAGAGGAAAAAGAATCAACACTGACCCAGTTTCATGGTTGAGGAGCATTGCTTTCTTGTGAAGTCATGAAATATTTCCATTCTTGATTTCAAAATCTGAAAAAACAACTGTGTCTTTTACAAGAAAATGTCTTTTCTTTGGGCAGAAGGACTCAGTGTTTCTTATAATGGCATATTGAAAAACTCATTTTCCACTTCTTATCTGATTATAATTATGCCACTGTTCAGTAATTTTTAAGTAAGGGTCTAAGTTAAGATATTTTGCTTTGTTTCATTTTGTATTAACCTTCATTTTATTCAGGATATTAGTAGGTTTTCCCCAGAAAATTTTTAAATCAAAAGGTTTGGAGACAGGTGAAGATCCTAATATTGAGGGCAAAACGGAGACAAAGAAATGGATACTTGTATGTAGGTTGTGCAGCCACAGAAAAAGAATTGCCTCCTTTCACCTTGGTTTATAGCAGGTATCCTATGCCCTTATTTACTAAAATTCTTACTTATAATTATCATCATAAATAGAGAATTTTGAATTCTAGGTTCAAAATCCTGTCTACTTTTAACAGTTTGCAAATTGGTTTGGGCATCATTTGCTGTGAATTTTAATTATAAAAGTTGTAAGGTTTGCTTTAATCATTCCTTTTTTCCCCGTTGTAAGGGCCTTTTGAATTGGCACCAATTTCTTGAAGGCCCCGATGGTGTTGAAAATGCTCGGTTTGGTTCAGCGATTGCAGCTCTTTCAGACGTCAACATGGATGGCTTTAATGACGTGATAGTTGGTTCACCTTTGGAAAATCAGAACTCTGGAGCTGTGTACATCTACAATGGTCACGAGGGCACCATTCGCTTGAAGTATTCCCAGGTAATCCATGAGTTTTCTGGTGATGTTTTTACAAGTGTGTCTCATCATGTTAGAGATACAGAGTATCATGCAGACTATCCAGTCCATCCCTCTTATTTTATTACTTTATTCATTCACTCAACAAATATTTAGTGAGCCTCTTTTGTGTATCAAGCACTGTTCTAGACTCTGGGGATGCTGTAAAGAACAGGACAGACAAAATTCTGCTCTTCGTGGATCTTACATCCTTGTGGAGGAGACAGAAGAAAAATAAGATGAATAAGATAAAGTGATCCAGATAGTAATAAATGATAAAGGAAAAAAAAAACTAAAATAGGGAATAAATTTTCAGGGATGGGAGGTATCAGGTATTTGAAAGGGTGACCAAGAAGGCCTCACTGAGAAGGCAACTTTTGAGTAAAGACCTGAAGGACGTGAGCTAGGAGAGGAATCCGGACTGAACTTGCATCAACTCCTTCCCAGTCCACTCATCTTTCACTGCTTTGTGCTGGTTTGTGATTTTATGTTAAAAGATTTATGCTGTTTCTTTGATGAAAATGTGGCTACAAGAATGATGAACAGATCAGATAAGATGTGATTGAGAAATCAATGGAATTTTGTGGAGAATAAAACAACCAGGGAAATGGCTATATAGAGAATATAACAATGCAGTGGAGAAGCTGCATTTCTGTTTCAGTTGTTCTGCACTACAGTTTCATGTCAAACTTGCTCTTTCAGAAAATCTTGGGATCCGATGGAGCCTTCAGGAGCCGTCTCCAGTACTTTGGGAGATCCTTGGATGGCTATGGAGATTTAAATGGGGATTCCATCACCGATGTGTCCATTGGTGCCTTTGGACAAGTGGTTCAGCTCTGGTGAGTCAGAGAGAGCCAGACACAAGCTAGCTAACTAAAAAATGACCTGCTAAAATTGCAGTGCTGGTATTGTGGAAATGCCACATGTGTTATATAAGACTCTAGGACATTTATGTGTCATAGTTTGTATAAAGGAAGGAATATGTTTTTCCTGGTGGGAGAAAAAAAATATTTGCTTAACGTTAGAATCAAGTTTCTCTTCTCCATATGGTGAGCAGAAAAAGCACATAGAAAAGACAAAGCCTTTGAAATGCTATCCAGGATATTTCTGAATATTATCTACCAAATTGCCTTACCTCAGCTCACAGAAAGGAAGCCTCATGAGAATGTCCTAAAAATACTGAACACTCAGACCACACAAGTAAAGTGTAACTTCTCATGTGGCTATAAGGTATTTTTTGAAATTATTAGTCATAAACCAGAAGCCATTATTTAGGTTTAACTGACCTTTCCTTGACCTCAGAAGGAGTTGAAGAGCAGGGGGGGAACAATAAGGAATTCAGGGCCATGTGATTCAAGGACAAAAATAAATATATTGGGCCAGCCCCAGTGGCCTAGTGGTTAAGTTCAGTGCACTCTGCTCTGGCGGCCCAGGTGCGGTTCCCAGGTGCGGACCTACACCACTCTATTAGCAGCCATGCTGTGCTGGTAGCCTACACACTAAAAAATAGAGGAAGATTTGCACAGATGTTAGCTCAGGGCAAATCTTCCTCAGCAATAAATAAATAAATAAATAAATAAATAAATAGGGCTGGTGAGGGAGTGGAATCAGAAGGAAATTGAGAATATGATCAAGAGTCCCCAAGATAACATAGTTCAGCCATTCGTTTATTTGTCTCTGTTGAAAAATGTGCTGTAAATGTCCAAATACATCAAGAATAGAAAACATTACATACTGATGTTCTGTTTTTTCTGAGTTTAATGAAACTATTTACACTCTCTCACTTGTGCTTTTAAAGGATGAAATGCAGTGTTTTTAATGCATCGTTTTAATGAAAACTTTATGTGGAAAAAATAAAACTCAAGGATAATGTTTAAGACTTTGAAAAATAAGAAAATGCTTTTACTGAATAAAATCAGTTAAAATCAGTTAAGAGTAGCGTACCATTAGAAAAATACAAGTTTTGAGAACATAATTATATGACTGATTTTTAAACAATTTTCTAAGAAATTATACCTTTCAGTGAGCATCACCCTGTAGCCATCTCAGTAGGCTTCGTCCTTGTTGGGGTATATTCTTACTATATTCTATGACTCCGTTTTAATACAGTCAATGATGGCTAAACTTTTTTCTTTGAAGGTGAATTTGATTCTTCAAAGTAGTCAAGGCACATGGAGTCCAATCAATTTACTGAGGTGATCAGTCAAGCTAGGTTAATGCCATTTTGTGGTCACATTCCTATAAGGTGCTGAGACTGGTTTTTCTGGGGAACTTCCCGAGAATAATTTTTCAAAAACAGGTTTACAAAATAATTTAAATCAATACCATCTCCACTGGGATAAGTGCTCAGCCTCTCAAAGAGACTGAGTTAAAGAAAACATTCACTTAGACATTTTAGATCTTTAAAGCTTGAGGCTATGTTGCATTTGTTATCAGATGTTTTATGACTGCTTATTAACTATTGAAAGAATTTTTCAATGGACTCAAGTCCTTCAAGTGGTACCTGAAATTAAAAGAAAATGTTTTCTATCTTATTGTGGTATTTTTCAAAACAGTGATATTACTAATTCTCCTTGCTGCTTTGTAAATAGTTGAGGGTGTGCACAAGGGGTCATTATAATGAAATACAAATTCTGCTGGCCAAGGAATTAGGAGTCCATGGATTCCAATTTCTCACTTGCTAACTGTTACTCAGTAAACTGGTAAGTTACCAAATGTCTTTGTGTCTCAGACTTTTTCACTGATAAAATGGAGAAAATATTTGTTCTACCTGTTTCACAGAAGTGGTATAGGAGCAAATGAGGCCATGCACACGTGAAAGCCCTTCAGATATCTAAAGGGCTGAGCCAGAGTCAGAAATCTGTGGCACCCTGCCTGAGATGGACTCCTCAGCCATTTTCTGCCATCAAGCTAGTTGCCACCATCATGGCCATATGCCACACTTCAAAGAATCACCACCTTGGGGCTGGCCAGGTAGCACAAGCGTTTAAGTGCGTGCGCTCCACTGCGGTGGCCCAGGATTTGCCTGTTCAGGTCCCGGGCGTGCACCAACCCACCGCTTGGCAAGCCATGCTGTGGCGGCGTCCCATATAAAGTGGAGGAAGATGGGCATGGGTGTTAGCCCAGGGCCAGTCTTCCTAGGCAAAAAAAAAAAGAGGAGGATTGGCAGATGTTAGTACAGGGCTGATCTTCCTCACACACACAAAAAAAAAAGAATCACCACCAGCCACTGAGGCAACAGGAGACAACCACGATCACACTCCTCTGCCTACCACCCCCCCTTGCCACCTGTTCTCTCCCCTACCTTTGTGAGAAGAGTGAATATCACTGCTTCCAGCTGGCAAAACACAACAGGGACAATGACTTTGTACTTTACTTACCAACAGGTTGCAGACTCTCATCCTGTGCTCGCTCATGTGTTCGTTAAACAAAAAAGATTAAATGTGGATTATCCTGGGAGTATGGTCACAAAGGAAAAAGACATTATCCCTACCTCCCATCTTAGAACTTTCAAATATAAAATACTGCTCAAGTGCTTAGATAAAGAGTGGAGAAAATAATTGTATAATGCTGGCACTGGATCCCCTATGTAAAGTTTATAATATGTGCACTCGGCAGTTACGTCCATCTATCTGTTTCCATTTATGTCTTTCAGGTCACAGAGTATTGCTGATGTATCTGTAGATGCTTCATTCACACCAGAAAAAATCACTTTGCTCAACAAGAATGCTGAGATAAGCCTCAAACTCTGCTTCAGTGCAAAGTTTAGACCTACTAAGCAAAACAGTCAAGTGGGTGAGTAGACCTGAAATAATCTGTGTGAAGATGGGTTTGCTTATAAAGTTTAGTCCTGAATATAACCTATACTTTGGATTTGTAGACCAAAAGAAATTAAGGTCTTGCAGACGTTTAAATTGCCACACAGTTGAGGTGCCTAAGCATGGTTAATTAGGCATGGAAGTTTCATGTAGATCCTCCTCCATCATCTCTAGAAGATATCGTTCTGCTGCAGAAAGTTGTAAACTCTATGATGTAATCATGGACTCTCCCAACTCTATCCTTTGAGTTCCTCTTACCCACAGGTCCCTTACTTAAAACCTTGGGTACACAGATTATACTGGACTACAGCCCGTATTAAATGAGTACACCATATGTTGGCTAAGCCGTGATCTAGATAGGGTGTGTTCAGTACGAGTGTCAAATATTGTTCCTATGCTTGAGGAATTAATAAGCATGAAATAATGAGAGAGAAAATATAAAACAATATATAATTTGTGCCCAGTGTTTTAAATTTTCTAAATAATCCAGAGAAGTGAGTCAAAGTCTGAAATGTGCCCTATCAGCAGAGAAGAGGCAGGAAAACTGTGGGCAGATGTCAGCGGGAATTGTTGTCGTCGCTCTCTGGGACCAGCCAAATCGTCTTTCAGGGCCTGGCTGAGGTCCTACGTGCTCTCTAGAGTCTTTTCTAACCACTCCATCTCCCCTGCGTCTCCCCTGCCGGCTCCATAGGTAGCAATTGAGTTAGCACATGAGTGAACGCTAACTTCTTTTGTTAGCAGCTGTTTCCTGGGTCCTAATCTCCCTTCCATCAGATTTCAGCTCTAAACTTCAGAAACCTGTAGTTCCTACAGGTATTTCATTAACTAGTAAACAAACTTAAAGACTAAAAATATAGAGGCATGTTAATTGTCACCATTCATACCAAGAAATAAATAGGTTAAGAACACAAAGCAGAAGTTAGATCCACATCTTGGCACACTTTCCGTATTTTTCTACTTTTCATGTGTGACAGTTTTCCTTTCAGGCGTTAAAAATTGACCCAATTCTGAGAAGCACATCTCACAGAGCTGCCTTGTAGTGCGTCCATCTGAGGAGCCATGATAGTTGAGTCAAAAACCATTACTGTATAAACATTAAGTGGCTAGATGTAATGTACAGTGTGGTGACTATTGTTAACAATACTGTATTGTATATTTGAAAGTTGCCAAGAGAGTAGATTTTTAAAGTTCTCACCACAAAAAAAAAGTTGTAACCATGTGAGGTGATGGATACGTTGACTAACCTTATTGTGGTGATCATTTTGCAATATATACACATATCATATATAAAATCGCTATGCCGTACACCTTAAACTTACACAGTGTTGTATGTCAATGATATCTCACTAAAACTGGGGAAAAAACATTAAGTGGCTAGTCTGCCTAAAAGATTAATTTGGAAAATATATTCATTGGCAGAAATGGCTGGCTGGTCACCTCTCCCGGCCCCGAAGCTTGGTTTCGTCTTGTGCGTCTTCCTTCCATTTTTGACTGTACTCCACCCCTTCCGTTGCCGCACACTAGAAAGGGCCTTTCTGCTCTCAGAAAATTCCCTTCCACTCGTTGTCCAGGGTCTCTTGCTATTGGGCACCTTTCCCTTTGAATCTTTTCCTTGACCTTCAGGTCCACACAGTCATGATCATTTGTCACTTAATTGCTTGGCAGTTGTAGCATGTAAGACATGAATCTCATCTTCACAAATTTGAAAAGTGAATTTATGAAGCATATGGTCTCTATTATTTATTGCATCCGGTGCACACTCCAGTTTCAAGTTAATAACATAAAAAAATTAATATATTGCCAATGTGACTATGATTTTTACCAAGCTGCTTGAAAAAAATGAAACAGTATTATCGTGTGTACTAACTTTGTCCTGGCTGCAGTCACCTCGCTGCCATTGTTTTTTCTTTGCATAATTTTCACCGCTTATTTTTAGTTCATTTGATTCTCATATATTTTATCTATCTTTGTTAACCTCATTAAGTCATTGGAGTAGGAAAAATTATACAACACCTCTAATAGATATTTTAAAGGTAACACGTAGAACTAATGTTTTTAGAAGTATATGCAACCTTTGAAATATTGAAAGGAATAAAATAGAGTCACCCCAAATAAGGCAGTTGATGGTATGAATAGTATCTGATCTTTGCTCTCACTTTTGGACATGGGGCCAGCAGACTAGAGCTGAAGTTTCTAATAGTTTGGACATTGGCTCCTGACATCAGTTTTTATCGCATTTGTTTCTCATTTCCATTTCCCTGGGCTAGTATTATTGTCTCTGTTTTGTAGATAAGGAAAGGTTAAGCAAATTCCCTAAAGCTCATAAACAGTGGAATTAGGATTCAAACCAAGTCTTCCTGATTCAAAACTTATTCCTGCAATGTTGCATGCCTTTCCCTATGTAAGCATCTAGAATATGCAAGGCACTATACGTGTTCCCTTAGAGCATCTCAGTTAATCTTCACAACTGCATAGAAACAGCAAGAACAAGGGCTCTGATTTCAAAATTACCCAAATTTTATTTCTGACCATCCCCTTGCTGTGTGAACTGAGATGAATTATTTTACCTCTTTTGTTCTGTTCATTATACGAAAAATAGGATAATAATAGCCACTTTCCAGGTTTATTTTCAAACTCGTGTAGGATAACATATAAGAATATGTTCGGGGCCAGCCCGGTGGCGCAAGCGGTTAAGTGCGCACGTTCTGCTGCGGCGGCCCGGGGTTCGTCGGTTCGGATCCCGGGTGCGCACCGACGCACCGCTTGTTAAGCCATGCTGTGGCGGCGTCCCATATAAAGTAGAGGAAGATGGGCATGGATGTTAGCCCAGGGCCAGTCTTCCTCAGCAAAAAGAGGAGGATTGGCATTGGATGTTAGCTCAGGGCTGGTCCTCCTCACAAAAAAAAAAAAAAAAAAGAATATGTTCAGTTGGAGGCACTCAATAACTGTTCCTTTCCTTTTCATACCACTGTGTTATGGATGGTGAAATCCATGGTTGAGGGAGTAATTTGACCAACTTCATTCAGTAGATTTCCTGGTGGCAAGTCCACTTTTCTCTCCACTGCTTCAAGCCACGTTTCTTTAAATCACGTTTCTTTGTATCCACAGTCACATACATCACACTAGAGCCAGAATTACAAATGTCATGGGCTTTCCACAGTTCACAATCCATCAACATAAAGACTGTTTTTTATTTTCTTAAAGTCAGAGGCTTCACCCAATAAGACACAATAAAGCAAGGATGCTCTATCCTTAAAAGTTTTTTTGTAATAACATTTCTTTATGATTTTTATCATAGCCATTATATATAACATCACAATTGATGCAGACCTATATTCATCCAGAGTAACCTCCAGGGGTTTATTTAAAGAAAATAATGAAAGGTACCTGCAGAAGAATATGATAGTAAGTCAAGCACAGAGCTGCTCTGAGTACATCATCCACATACAGGTGAGGCCTCAGAGTCATCCTTTTTCATCCCATTTCTTCTTAAGACTAATGAACGGTGAAAATCTAAAATCGAAGCTTATGTATTAGAAAATGCTTGCCATTCTAATTAGTGCTTTTCTTGTCTAATTCTATGAACAGTAAGCATATTTCCTTTATACTAATATATGTGGTCACATTCTATTATTATATAAGTCAGTAGCATTAAATTTTATTTGGGATTGCAACTAAAAGGGCTAAAAATAAGATTCTTAAAAAATCAAAGACAGTGCTTTTTTAAATGTTTAGCAGGGAAAACTTTTAGTTGACAATAAATTTTATTTTGACATTGTCCTATCAGGGGAAAATTTTGTTCATTTTTAAACTACTGAAAAGGACAATTCCAATTGTGGTTTCCATTAAGTTTAAGTTTTTCCATTGGGTTTATATTAATATAGGTGAAGGATGGTAGGTTATGAGGTTAAAATTATTTGCTCTAATCTTATACCATAATTACTAGAGTCTCATGGATTTTGAAACTCTCCCATGTAGGAAAAATGCCTCTCAGGAGAAAACTTCCAACAGGAAATTTATTTTATAAATTATGTGAATATTTCCCCCTAGAAACCACGTAATGGTATTTGAAAATGTAATTTACTCAAGAAACTATTTTTAAAAGAGCTGTTTAAGAACTTTCCTAGAATATGGTTCTTAGAGTTAAGATGCATAAGAGTTGCCAAGGGAACTTTTATAAAATGCATATTCCGGGTCCCACCCACCAGAAGTTTGGGTTTGAAGATCCAAAGAATATGCAGATTTAAGGGACACACCCGGATATTTTTGATGTAGATGGATGGTACACAGATCTCATCTCAAGAAATGCTAAGTATAAGAGTTAGAAAAACATAAAGTTATTGGTAAGATGAATTAAAATCAGTTGAGTTGTTTAATTTATTGTTCAAGTTGAAGGTTTCTTGTTTGTGAAGGCCTGGACTTTTTTGTTGTGAAGGTGCCAATTATACAGGTTCTCTAAAGGAATAGAAGCCAGCATCCACTCTCTCCTATCCTGTGCTAAGTGACGGATGAAATTTAAAATGTAATCCATTGTGGGGGAATGAGGACAACCAGACTATTGTTCGTCTATAAATCCTGTTCACTCTTATGTGTACTTGTGAAGTTTTCAGAAGGTGTGTGTTATTTTGGTCAGCTAGGAGATATTGCTTCAGTTAACACACCATATTTGATATCAGTACCAAAGTCCATTCTATGTGCCAACCCTGCAGCCAACTGAAGAAGCATTTTCTTATAGCCAGGAAACAATCCTAGTTGTCAGCCACCCCCCCCCCCAAAAGGACTCAAGACAGGAGAAGTCCTACCAGTGAATGGATTAAGTGAAAATGAAGATATCACTTCTCAGGAAAAGGCAAATTTGATTTTTAGGGTTTATAGTTTGTATAGACGTAGTTCTTTCCTGACGAGAACTGGGATGATGTCTGTAAGAAGACTGCTAGATGATACTCGCAACCCTGCATTGAAAAAGATTTTCACACTTTTCAATAAATAAGAAGCCTCGGAAACTGGAAGTGGCCCATGCCTCCTGGGACGCTGCAGATCTTCCACCCTCTATATTAAAGGCAAAGAGGAGAAGTTGTACTTGTAGCTGGGTAGCGCCAGCTTCAATGGCTGTTGAGTGGTAACGTGCATCATATTATATGGGCAAGGAGCAGTGTGGCTTCTAACAGTCAGCTGGGGCCAGAAGTTGGGGAGTTGGATTCAGATGTGGGAATCATCTTTATCTGGTTTCGTAGAGCAGGGTTAGGTGCTGACTAAGGAAGAAAGTCCGCTTGTCCATTGCCTGACTGCCAGCCCTGGGCACCTTCCTTTTAAGGGCATAATATTCCCTTCCAGAGATTTGGTCAGGACACCTAAGGACTCTTAAATCCCGGCAATAGGAATTGGAAGGATGTAGCCAACAACTCAAGAGCTGGGTACTGACTTAGGGGTCTTTTGAACATTAAAACTGGACGTATCATCTAAATATTTATAGTTACTTGTGTATAAATAAAGAGATTACTGATGAGCTTAACTAAGAATTGCTGCTTCTGATTTTTACTGAACTCAAGTCTCTAAGGTTCTTCACAGCAGAGAGGATAAGAGCAGAATTAGGACAGAACAGAAGAAGCAAGAGTCTTGAAAATTCAAAACAATGATATTCTATATAATTGAGGGCGCACTCTGTTCTTAATTGTGAACACATTTGTAGTCATTTCTTGTTTTGAAGCTGCCATGCCCTATAGACTGACAGCGTGTCTGTGTGTGTTTAGGAGCCCTCGGATGTTGTCAGCTCTTTGGATCTGTGTGTGAACATCAGTCTGGAAAACCCTGGCACTAGCCCTGCCCTTGAAGCCTACTCTGAGACTGCCAAGGTCTTCACTGTAAGTGTTGCTGGAATTCGTACTCGCTAACACAGTTTCACAGTCACTGCAGTAGTGTTTGAAAGATAATTAGGACACAGCCTTTAAATTAATTTTCTAAATGAAATACACTTATATGTAAATTCATTGGCAGTTAAGCTCCGTGAAGGCCGGGGGTTTTATCTTCCTTGCTCGCTGCTCTATTCCCAGCCCCTTGAGCAGTGCCTGGCTGACCATAGGTGTTCAATAAATATTTGTTGAAGAAATAAATAACAGGGTCCAGCCCAGTGGCGTGATGATTGGGTTCGCACGTTCCGCTTCAGTGGCCCAGGGTTCACGGGTTCAGGTCCTGGACGCGGACCTACACATCACTCATCAGACCATGCTGTGGCAGCGCCCCACATGCACAGTGGAGGAGGATTGGCGCAGATGGTAGCTCAGGGCCAATCTTCCTCACCAAAAAAAAAAGAAAGAAAAAGTAATAAAGCAGACCCCTTATGCTCACCACCCACTTAAAAAATAAAATGTTACCAGTAACTCATGAAGTTCTCTGTATCACTCCCCACCCCAATCATATCCACTTTCATTTTACTACCCAGGCGAATCATCATCTTGAATTTTGTATTTATCAACGCTTTTCTTTCTGATCTTGCTAAACATGTATATATTCCTAAAACACTGTTTAGTTTTGCATGGTTTTTAACTTTATGTCAATGGAATAATACAATACGTATTCTTCCACAATTTGCTTTTTTAACTCAGGAGCGAATGTCTGGGGTTGTTTATCCTTTTTTGTAGATCCCTTTCTATAAAGACTGTGGTGATGATGGAGTTTGCATCTCTGACCTAGTTCTAGATGTCCAACAGCTGCCAGTTGCTCAGTAAGTTTTACTTTAAAGCTCAATGTAAAATGTAGAAATAAAAGACACATTAGATTACTTTCTTCAAATGAATGTTTATGGAGAATTTTTTCTATGAAAGAAACATCCATAACTAATAAAGATCTTTAAAATCTAAATTTCAATTTCTACCATCCATATAGAAGTAAAACAATAAGAAATATAAAACCATTTGTGTTTGGATGGTTCCCTTCCCTGTATTGGGATTAAAAGCTACAAAGAAGAAAACCCAATAGCATTTACTTATTTATTGTCAGTATCAGTTTACTATGAAGACAGTTTATTATTAAGCAATTTCTCAGTCTTCCAAATAAATCTAAAGAGTTTATTTTGGAAATAAGTGAAGTATTTGACTACTGGCCTTTTTGTTTTTTTTACCTTAATGACTTTTTTCTTTTTTCCTTTTGACAGAGAACAACCCTTTATTGTCAGCAACCAAAACAAAAGATTAACATTTTCAGTAACACTGAAAAACAAAAAGGAAAGCGCATACAACACGGGAATTGTTGTTGATTTTTCAGAAAACTTGTTTTTTGCTTCCTGGTCCATGCCGGTATGTGATGGCACCCCGGGCTGACCGCTGTTGTGTTTCCTACTCCTTGTCAATTACGGTCTTCCTTATACTCAAATCTCCACATCCTCTGTGTTGTCTGAAGAAGCACTTTAACCCTCAGCGTGATCAATCCTAACTTTGGGGCTCCCAACTAGTTAAACCGCATGAGAACATAGCCTGGTTCTGCATCTAGAGCAGTTCTGCTTCACAGCTTGGGTCAGTTTTTCCTTTGCCCTGGGACTTGGCAGCAGTAGCCAGACACTACCGTAACTCTTCTCCAGCCATCTGTGTGATGAGGCTGCCGTCATGCCGCACAGATGCTACGAGCTGCGCTTGCTCTGAGAAATTAGAGTCCCACAGCTCAGACTGAGCTTCGTAAGCACAGGTCTCGCTGCTGCCAAGACGACGCATTCCAGCGAGGTCGCTTAATCATGTTGACTTGATCACTATACCAGGAACACCCTTGACCATGAATGTCCTCCTGGTCCTTCTTCTGCCACCAAGCAATGGAAAGGAGAGAAGGGAAAGGCTGAGACTTTTCCAAATTTGCTACTTGATAAAAGGATTGAAAAATGGTTTCATCTAGTTTAAAGTCAATGTGAACTTAATAGATTTAGGGTCCTAACCCTATTCTGACGTCAATGTTTAAATTTCCTGTGCCAAATGGCAACTTCTTATTTTAAACAGAAAAAAAAAACTGAGGAAAATTAAAAAAGATTCTTTAAATTATTTAAAATGTAGATAAACACTAACATATGCTTTTGTTTTCTTCTCTTGAAACTACTAATTTCAAATATATTGAGAGAAAGGGTATGTATTAAAAACAACATTTCTAAATATTGGATTAAAGTTAGTTTGTGCTTTTGAAATATAAGAACTATGATTTATCTATGGGGAAAAATTCCAGTAGCTGACCTCTCCTTTGGCTTGTTGGGTGTCCTGCTTAGCAATAAAAATAGTATATTAGCCACCTGGACGATACAAGACTTTCAAGTCCTGGGGGACAATAAATTACTTCATTGTGAACCAAGCTTACTGCTAAAATGTCCATGTGGTTTATACATCCTTCAGCCTGTATGTGCATACACACACACGTAGACTAATTGATCATTGTTTCCTTGGTCTCGTTCAGGTTGATGGGACGGAAGTAACATGCCAGGTTGCTTCATCTCAGAAGTCGGTTACCTGTGATGTGGGCTACCCTGCTTTAAAGAGAAAACAACAGGTACAACTTGCATTTCATCCTCAAATCCACATAGTGTCAGTTCATCAACGTACCATCGGCCCTAGTGTCAGTTCACCAACGTACCATCCTCTTATTAGGTGTCATTATTTGATAGGCATCACAAAATAGCTGGCTGCATATTTAGAGGTAGTTTTTAATATCAGAATGTTTTCTTTAAGTTATTAATACAAGTGGGATTCCCCCCCCCCATGCAATTCATTCCAAAAAGCACGTACAATATGGATTTTCTGAATATGTTGACCCATGCTGGTCGAAGTGCTGTACATAGAGTCACAGATATCATTTGTTAACCTCTGGTAAGCAAACGTTACATCAGCACAACGCTTTCAAATTCAGACAAGTATTTGTGCCTGTGACGTGACGGCTTGTATGTGTCAGTTGATTAAGCCCTTCTAATTCTAAAGGTGATGCATGCTGAAGCAAGGTGGACAAGTAAACAGGTGTTCTACAAATTTGAAAGCTTAAGGTATATAAAATTCAGAATCAGATTGGAGTGAGTTTACTTTTATAGGAAACTTTTTTTCATGTTGGCCCTGAGTACAAAGCATCACAGATTGATGAATTTTAATTTTGTGTATAGGTGACTTTTACTATTAACTTCGACTTCAATCTTCAAAACCTTCAGAATCAGGCATCTGTCAGTTTCCAAGCCTTAAGGTAAAACATAAGGTAGTCATGAATTGATGATGGATGGCTTTTATAATAGTTCTCTTTAAGTAATTTCCTAATGTTCATTTCAATAGTGAAAGTCACGAAGAAAACAAGGCAGATAATTCAGTCAACTTCAAAATTCCTCTGCTGTATGATGCTGATATTCACATAACAAGGTGGGTGAAGCAGTGAGCGGCCTGTGACCACTCCAATTCATAACACATTTGGCTCAAGATTAAACAATTCCTCTATATGCTCAGTCTTAACTGGAGAATTTGAATCACAATGTTTCTCCCTTGTCAACTAAAACAGAAGCCCAGAGACAAACTGGTGCCTGGGGGAATCTTGAGCAACTCTTTAGGTCTATTGACTGAGAGCAGTACCAGAAAGGCCGAGGACTAACCCTTCTGCCACATGCAAGGGGAAACCTCCCTGCAGGCCCTCAGAGGAGCTGCAAACCTTCCCAAGATGTCAAAGCAGAACTCTTAGGGTCCTGAGGAGTTGCCACCACTTTCTTCTTCATGCCTGTGTCCTACTGTCCACGCAAGATCTTTAGCAATATCCCTATTCCTGGACATTGAAGCTCCAAGCACAGTGCTTCGCACATAGTAGCTCCACCACAAATATTGAATCAAGTCACAGAAATTAGTTTCAGGGTGGAAAATTCCTGACATAACAGATTAGGAGTTTCTTCCAACCAGGAGGAAATGAGCCATTTTCCAAAGGAGGTCAGCCACGAAGAAATGCTTCCTTTTTCTGGCCTGCCCAAAGCAAGTAAACCTGAGAGCACGGGCTGAAAGGGTACTAGTTGATACCAGTCATCTTGAGTTGCTCAGAGAGACAAGTGTCTTGAGAAGTGAGTAACATGGAAACACCACAGGTGCTAATAAGTTGGTATCATCACCTTCACTCCCACTTAGAAGTGAAGCAGGGGCCGGCCCTCTGGCCTAGTGGTTAAGTTTTAGCATGCTCCTCTTCGGTGGCCTGAGTTCAGCTCCTGGGTGCAGACCTACACCACTCATTGGCGGCCATGCTGTGGCGGCAACCCACATACAAAATAGAGGAAGATTGGCACAGATATTAGCTCAGGGCCAATCTTCCTCAGCAAAAAAAAAAAAAAAAAAGAGGTGAGGCAGGCTCATGGACCCAGAGACAGCAGAGTACAGCTATGCAGGTACACAGGCTGCAGGTGACACTCACCTCCAAGCCTGGGTACCAGAATTCTCTACCTGGTGAGGCACTAAGCAGCTTCCCAGCACAGATCAGTGACCCCTGGAAAACACACAGCAGTGTATTCCCAAGAAGCCAGGCTGCAAATTGTTCAGTGACAGCAGATTTCTCTAACTCCCACCACATCACTCCAGCCCCTAAAAGCCTGGACTATGTAGATCATCCAAGAGATCACTGAGCAAAAACAAAAAGGAAAATGTGTCATTCTGTCTAGAGCCTGAGACACATGAGCGAAGATGAAAAGAATGCTTCTGTATCAAGTGAGTTGCAAACTGTAAAAGCAGAAACCAAGTTCAGCCCAAGTCATCCATCCCTGAAAAATTAATCAGTAACTGCAGATAGCAAAGGACCCTCAGTTGCTAAAATAAGTAATTGAAAACAAATGTAGCCAAAGAGATTGATAGGACCACATTATCTGAATTTTTTTCTTCCTACTTATGATTCTTTCTCATCCTAAATGCTTTTTGTTAATACAGCCTTTTATGATTCTACTCTCCCGCCATGGCCAATTTTTTCAGATATTTTAACATGAAATGAATGTAAGATTGAAAGGGGACTAACATCTTAACTATGTATTTTTTGTGATGATAAATTGGATTCTAAGACATTCTGATGTTCTTTAAACTATATTACACAGTTAAAAAAATTAATATGGAGAAATATAAAGAATAAAGCTAAAGTGGCTCCTAATCCCACCACCTAGATAATTCCTCCTGATGATTTTTAAAAAGAAAAACATTAAATGTACATGGATAGAAAATCCAAGCATTACAGAAAGATACACAATGAGAACTAGAGTCATCCCTCCCCACCTTGTCTGGTCATCCCATAGATAACTAACTCAGCTGATTTCAGAAACATTCCAGATGCAAAGTTTGTTTATCTACCGGGATCTATGCATGTCACACACACACACACACACACACACACATTTTATTTACCCAAATGGAATGATAAAATTTTTCTGTACCTTGCTTTTTATGTAGTCTTAAAGAGGTTTTCATGTCAGGACATACAGATCTAACTTGTCCTGTTCCTGGTGGATCAGAATTTATGTAACCAATTCAATATTAATGAAATATTTGGTTGTTTTGCATTTTTATTTTGTTTTGTTTAACCATCACAAGCAATGCTGTAAAAAAAGCTTTTGTTTTCTGGTGCAGAAGATTGGCCCTGAGCTAACACCTGTGCCCATCTTCCTCTATTTTGTATGTGAGACGCCTCCACAGCATGGCTTGAGTGGTGCAGGTCTGCACCTGGGATCTGAACACGCGAACCTGGGCTGCTGAAGCAGAGCATGCCAAACTTAACTACTACTTAGGCCGGCCCCTAAAAAACATTTTTTAACACACATCTCTGCAAACTTCTTGAAAAAAAATCCTACCCAATTACTGAGTGGATCCCTTAGCAACCACCTTGATAACATATAAATGTGCAATTATATTGTGCAAATATGATGGGTGGAAATAGATGACAGTAGAATTATTTCTAAAGCAGGATCCCCCTGAGTGTAGCTAAATGCTATTATAAATATATTGATCAACACATAAGTAACTTAAGGAACACTTGAGTAACAAATGGAAAAATGTTGGATCTCTTTAAAATGCAAAAGCAGAACACATTAATCAATTTAGAAACTGGCTGTATTTAGGAGCTCCCACAAAGATCTTCTGGAAGGCAAAGGGAATAATTCATGCACATACAGCCAGGCTTTCTGTTTCAAATCCTAGTCAGTTTTCCCATTTTCCACGTAAGGCTGACAAATCGTTATTTCCTCTCATATACATAACCTTGACAAATACCACATCTATTTAAGTCTCCCTATGACATATTTTCCTTTTGAGAATTTGGAAAGGCTTTTTTTAATGCATAAAAAAAGAGAAAGCCAAGATTTTTAGTAAAGAAACCAAAAAACTCTATCTCAGAAAATGTCCAGTCCAATTTTTTTAGGAAATAGAATCAACATCCTATAATTAGGATAAATTGTTGGGAATGAATATTGCTTCTCAGACTCCTACCCTGCTACTCACCCCCTACCCCCAACAAAGCTACCCTGGTTGGAATCCAGTCTCAGAGCCCCAGAAATGAGTGAGGACAGGGAAGAATATCCAGTTACATTCTGGTCTGAGTAGTCCTGTGGGGGATCCTCTGACCTGGTTCATGACTTCACTTGCAAACCCTAGTTGGCAGTCCTAAGCTTATAAATCCATTCATCCGATCAACAAGGACTAAGTTCCACTATAGTAATACACCAGTCAATATAATAGCAATCTTGAGAAGAGTTTCACTATCAACTCTAAAGTAACACATTTGTACTTATTTTAGAAACTTTATAACTGATAAATATATAACATAAAGAATCTCAGCAGAAAGATCATGAAGGGATATATTTTGAAAGGAATTTGTTTTAGCCTTAGAAATGTATATGGGACCATAAGCCCATAACAACCATTTGTTTTCATTTAGTGTGTTTGTACCTAAGTGTAAACTGTTTTACTTCTAATATAAGCTAGATGATATTTAAATCAAAGAAATACTAAACTTCAAGAACAACAGCATAACTGAAATATTTGGCTTTACAAACATCATCCAACAGATCTACCAACATAAATTTTTATGAAGTCTCTTCGGATGGGAATGTTCCTTCTGTTGTGCACAATTTTGAAGATATTGGTCCAAAATTCATCTTCTCCATTAAGGTTGGTAAGCCTGTCATAAGGATGGAAAAATCAGGAGGATGGGGAAAGAAAAAAATGAGGCCAGGAAGAGAAGAAGAAAGTAAAAAGAAGTTGAAAGATACCAATGGTTCTCAAACTTGAGCATGCATTAGAATCACCTGGTGATCTTGTTAAAACACAGGTCACTGGGCTCCATCCCCAGAGTTTCCGATTCAGTAGGGCTGAGGTGGACCTAAAAATGTGCTTTTCTAACAAGTTCCCAAGTGACGCTATTGCTGCTGGGCCACGTGCCATACTGTGAGAACCACTAAGATAGATCACAGTTAAGTAAACAGCTGGGCTTTGTGCATAGTTGTGTGCCCTGGGTAAAGGATATATTTTGAAAGCAAATGTCCAACATTAATCAACAGAGTGTTAACATAAGGGTATCTCTGTGAGCACAAGTCTCGGGAATATAATTAGTATGCCAATTTATCCTTGGAAACCACTTCTATTTGAGAAGCTTACCATTTGTATACAAATATGCATTTTGTATGGTCATGCTAGGTAGTATCTAGAAATATTTTAAAATCAGTTTCTATTGGCTATTACTATGCAATTATTAATCTAAAAATTGTTATCAATTGTATAAAGATAAATTAATATGTGAAAGAATGACTATAATATAATAACATTATGTAAACTTTGGAAAGTAAAAAGAAAAGAATTCATCCACCACCCTAAGTCTATACAGTCTTTTTTCTGTACATTTACTACTACATTTTGTGCATTTTGTACAAACATTTTGTATATTTACTAATCTGTTACATGGTTGCAACTCTGCAATTTGGTAATTTAAAAAAGAAAATCTTTAAGAGAGTCTTATTTTGTGATCCAGATACTGGAATTTGTAAAATGTGCATGGTATTTGGCAACTACTTCTTTAATGAAACATTTAGTCAATTAGCAGTAACAATAAAATAACTTTCATAGGGAGGCTAATAAGTACCAGCCTTTGTATCAAGTGCTTTACATATGTTGACCCATTTAATTCCCAGGTAAGTTATGAGGTTGGTAGGATTACTATTCCTATGGGTGTTCTTTAAAATGTTTAACAACCAGCAGGGCATGAGCACTGGCCAGTTAGGACAGACTCCTCAGCAATGAGAACAGATGTTGTACCTGTGCGTACCAGTGAGTTGCTGATTAGTTTACAAATGAGAAACTGGAGCATAGAGAGGTCAGGTACCTTGCCCAGGCCACACTGCTAGTCAGGGGCAGAGTGGGACTTCATTCCCTGGCAGCCCAACTCCACAGATGGCAGGTGTTTTTAACCATCTCCTAAGTCACAAATTATTTCCCAGTGAAAATTGTAGCTGTTGAGATTTTTCCCGAGAGGTGAAACACAGAGACCCGAAGTGTGACTCTAAAGTAATGACTCACTTACATATGGACTCAATCTTACCACGTAATAGCTGCCCTTCATCAACACAGAGGTTATTGATCACTTTCCTTGCAAAATGTGGATGATGTAGCAATAACCAGAATGTTTTCTTCCATACGTAGGTAACAACAGGAAGTGTTCCAGTGAGCATGGCATCTGTAATCATCCACATCCCTCAATACACCAAAGAAAAGAACCCACTGATGTACCTGACTGGGGTGCACACCGACCAGGTAAGGGCAACCAGATCACCTATAAAAATGTGCGCTTTCAATGTGGAAGTACACCATGAGGTTGGGGTGATCATGTCTGACATCTTATAGATAGGAAACTGAGAAAAGAACCCCTATGCATCCTGAATGCCAATTAACTAGCAGTTAGTTTCATATTAGAAGCAGGGTATTGTTATAAGAAAACAAATGTCTGAGTCTAGAGATTTACAAATGGCAGAAATTATTCCTAAAGCCCCATTTTGGCTAGGTGAAGATCTGACCTTGTCAGAGCCCTGTTCATAGAGGAGTTAGTGGACTGGGAAGTCAGAGATTGAACCCGTGGTGGGTAGTGTAGTTGGTTGACACAGGTGCAACTGGTAGCTGCTCTTTAAGCTGCCAGCCTGGGTTTTCGCCCAGTACTAATCAACCCTGGCTGCTCATTTAAATCACCTGGGTCGATGTGTGTGTGTGTGTGTGTGTGTGTGTGTGTGTGTGTGTGTATGTGTGAGGAAGTTAGCCCCGAGCTAACATCTGTGCGCATCTTCCTCTATTTTGTACATGGGTTGCCGCCACAGCATGGCTGACGAGTGGTGTAAGTCCACGCCTGGGATCCGAACCTGCGAACCCTGGACCGCTGGTGCGGAGTGCGCGAGCTTAACCACTATGCCACCAGGCCAGCCCCTGGGTCGATTTTTAAAAAAGGGTAATACCCAGGCCCACCCGCCAGGCAATTAAATCAGAATCTCTAGGGCGAATGCATCTATAACCAGAATTTTTCTTTAAAAGCACCCCCATTCCTGCCGAGTGGTTCTAATATGCAGCCTGGCTGGAAAAGCTCTGCTCAAGCCAAACCCCTTGACACTGGCTCAGCTCTTAGCTGGCTCTACGGTAGTGTTACTCCTGTGGTGTACATAGGTGACTATAGGAAATCAAAACCCTAAACTGTTCCACAGAAAAGAACCCTGAATCAAATCCCTCACAGTCTACTGTTATTGCAAATTTGTCTCAACACATATGAGTGGTAAGAACCATGACCACCCCCTCAAGTCACATCAGGAGGACCTGAGTACTTCAAAGCTCACAGTAGTGATGACAAGAAGTGTGGCCGGCTCAGTGCTATGAAAGAAGCCTAAAGCCCCTCCCTCATCTGACATGTGACAATAGCCTATCCTAACATGTTGAAAGGAACATCATAAACCATTTTAGTTCCTAAGACTGATTCGATGTCCTTCTTTGTAGGCTGGTGACATCAGCTGTAATGCTGAAGTAAATCCACTGGAAATAGGACAGACGTCTTCTTCTGTATCTTTCAAGAGTGAAAATTTCGGGCACATAAAAGAATTGGTGAGGACAGGTTAACGGGGTGACAGTTTCCTTTGGCAATTTATTGTTTTACCTGGAAATCAAGGCAATTCTTTTCTTCCACCACCTCATCATAGAACTTTCTTATTTTGCCTTTGATGGCCCTTATGAATCAAGGTTTAGAAATACATGGTCAAAACTAGGTTATTGGAATTATTACTTATGCCATTATTATAAAATACATGTTCCGGATTTCAGGATATCAACAGGACTCCATGTAAAACTACTGTTTTTGTGTCGTGCATTTTGGAAATATTGCAAAGAGATGGGAGGGAACTGGGCATGTGCTGTGGAGGTGAAGCCCCTTACATTCCCCTCCACGTAATCCCGGATGTCTTTTGCTAAATATGACTTTCTGACTACTCTGCTCTGTTTTCCAATATTTTATTATCTCCTGCTCCAGAGCTATGCCCCTTTCTTTGGGAAAGAGACTAGTCTAGCATCTAGCATGGTTCTTGGCACATATTAAGTATTGGAATAGGCAAACATTTAGCAAACAGTAACCCTAAACAAACCACAGCTCTCCTCTATGAACAACATTGAAATTCTGGTTTGCTTTTATTGCTATTGCTTTATTTCTTAATGGATGGGGGAAACAGAAAAATAGAAGAATAACATATTTCTTTTTTAAGTAATTACAACATAAATGTAGTTTACATCCAAACAGTAGTATGTAAAAATGCCCAATAGAAACTCATCTCAGGGTATGCCAAAATATTATACCTCTCAGCATTTTCCTTATTTTTTGAAAATGTTTTGATTTTGTAAAAATGGCAACTGCTTATGATGAACAACACGAAACAAATATAACACCAAAAACTACAAAGAAGAAACTAAAGTTCTCCAGAAATCTAACAGCTAACCACTTTTAACATTTCTTGAACATCCTTCTCTATACCTCTAAGCATTAATCCACATATAGATATATGTATACTGTTACATAAATGGACCACACTATAAGTTTTATAGGCCAATATGTCATAGACATTTTTAAATAGACTTTATTTTTTAGAATAGTTTTAGGTTGACAGCAAAATTGAGTGGAAAGTAGAGAAATTTCCCATATACCCCTTGCCCCCACATAGGCACAACCTCCCCCACTATCAAAATTCTCCCACACCAGAGTGGTACATTTATTTCAATTGACGATCCTACATTAACACACCATAATCACCCAAAGTCTATAGTTCACATTAACTTCACTCTTGGTGGTGTACATTCTGTGGGTTTGGACAAATGTATAGTGACATGCACCACCATTATAGTATCATACAAAGTAGTTTCACTGCCCTGGAAATCCTCTGTGCTCCACCTCTTCATCCCTCCCTCCCCTCTAACTCTTGGCAACCAATGATTCTTTCACTGTTGATTTTTTTTTAATGTAAGAAATGCATCTTTATCATTAGGTTTAATGACTCAATGGTACTGCATTTTGTGTATGTATATCCAATAATTTAGTTAACTAGTATGTTATTGATAAACATGAATTATTTAGGTTTCTTTTTTACTCTCAGTAGTGCAATAAACAGGCTTGGCGTACTTTTTCCCACACATTTATGATTATTTCCTGAGGCCTTCCATTACAGATGGGAAATGGCTGGGGCAAAGGGTGAGCACATTTTACATCTTCAGACATAGGGCCAAAATCTTTTGAAGAAGGATTATACTAATAGTATACTATAATATACTACTAATAGCTGATGAGATTGCTTATTTCCCTAGATCCTTCCTAGCACTGGGTTTTATCTATCTTTGTAAGCTATTAGCATTTATTTTTTAAAGCCCATACTAACCCTCTCTCTTCTTTCACCATTGACTGCAACCCGAAAGAACTGCAGAACTGCTTCCTGCCGTAATGTCACCTGCTGGCTGAAAGACCTTCAGGTGAAGGGAGAGTACTTCCTTAATGTGTCCACCAGAATTTGGAACGGGACTTTTGCAGCAGTAAGTATCAGCTTTATTTATTGGGTTTATCAATAGCAAGGAAACCTAAGGCTTCATTGTCAAGAAGTCATGCCCTTTGACAAAATTAGTATTCTGGCTACTATCAGCAGTGCCCGAAAAATCCAGAGCAATTTTCCCCTGGAAAGCAGTATGCTTCCATCCCTTTCCACAGCTTGCCCAATCTGGCTGTGCCCCAGAATCACCTGGGGTGCTTGTAAAGAGCCTGCTTCTTAGATTCCAGGCCAACCTCCTACACCAGAATCTCTGGGAATGGTGTCAAGATCCCCTCCACTGCCCTTAGGTGTAATGGGCCACCAGCTTTGTCTCCCTCCCCTTGCTCTAGATATTTCTGACTTCCTCGTCTCCACCACACCCAAATCAAAATGCACATGACTCTGTCTCATTCCTTGAGCTCCCGGCTAGTTGTTTGATTGCTCTCAAACCACCCAGCAGATAAATCTAACATAAGGATCCATCTTCCTGTATTAGAGCCAGGTAACCACTCTGCTCTCCTGTTTTACCCTTTCTCTGGTGAGAGCCCCATGTACATACAACTTTTTAAGTCATTTCAATCTCATGAAAAGTTTGAAGAAACTTCCAAAACAATGTCGGTGTGTTTTTCCATTTGGCAGGTGTGACTCCAGTGGCGATATCTGCTTTCAGCAGAGATTTCGGGAGCCAGAATTTCAGTCTGGCATGAAAAATATAAGGCTAGGCAGGGCTCCTTAAATCTCACTGCGTAAGGGCTAGCTATTCCTTCTACCAACACTGGCTCTGATTGAGGCAGCAAAATGGAAATTAGTCTGAAACCTCCAGGGGACCTTGTGGCTTTCAGTGGATTTTTTTTTTAAACAAATAAATCAGTCTTCAAGGTGCTTACCGACCATACTCTATTCCCTATTTTCTAATCATTTCATGATCTCTCCAACAAACCCCACTCCCTGCTATGGAGTTCTGTATAAGATTAGAGAACTAAGCTCCCTCCGAACTTGTCCGTGGAATCAAAACATAAGCAATATTCTTGGATAAAGACATAATAGAAAGAGGAACAGTGAAAGGCAGAGGAAAAAACAGACAAGTGGGGGAGGCAGTGGAGGAGTGAAGGGCTGGGTTTTCTTCTTGCTTTTGTTTTCTTCTTAGTTGCATTTGCCTTCAGGATGCCCCTAAATCCCGTAAGAGGGGAGCACGCCAATGGTTACCCCACCGTCCCAGCTGCTGCTGCTTGTGCTCGGTTTCACCAACTGGTTCTTGGCTCCTTGCATTTGAGGAACAAATGTTTTCATAGCAACCTTTGCCAGCTGGGAAGGAAAACTGACTGTTGCGAATCAAAGTGCAATCACGCCAGCTCTGTAAAATGCATTTGGGTTTTCTTGAGTTTGTTTAAAGCTACATCATTTTAACTGTAAGACTTTTTACCATACTTTCCCAAAGGTTTTCAGAAGCAGCAATTTCATTTCAAAATTCTGAAGCGGCATATTATTTAAGATTTTTCAACACGGTTATGATGGTTAAGCTGAAAAACACCCGTTATTGTATATCAAGTCCTACACATCTTCCTCCTTCATGAGAGGTCAAATGTTTATCCCCACCTTGTTTTCAGCTATTTCAACAGCCAAGTGCATGTTCTCAGACCACCTAGGAGACCCAGTCTGAAATATGGATCTTATTTCCTGTATGAGAGCCCATGAATATACTGCATTTTACCCTCTTTCTGATGCAGTGCAAGTCAACATTTCAAGTAATTTCATCACAAAGTGATTGCTCAGGCCTCCAAATCGATGGCATTGTTGGCTGCCATTTGTAAGGAAAAGCCTTGTTGAATGCGAGCAGGTCTGTTACTTCACTCTCCCAGGTATGCGTGGCATACCTACCACTGCCTGTTAACCCTGCAGGATATTGTGTACCTGTGCAAAGGGCCAGACTTGGCAGGGCAGATATAGCAGTATAGTAAGGAAATTCTTTCATCCTTAGTCTACAGGACTGTGAAACTAGCATTCACTTAACTGCTACTCTTTTTTTTTTTTTTTCATTTAAACCATTATTAATACTCTTAATGTCCCCCTGATAATATACATTTAAGAGACCAGTGATCAGGGTTAATTTCTGATGCAATCCTCCATCTTGAGAAAATTAAGACGACTAATCAGAGACAGAGCCAGTGGGAAGGAAATAAATTGCTCACTTTTTGGATATGCATTCTCCTTTTCTGGCTCCCAGATATAGTTTAGCAAATTACCTCATGGAGGATAATGAATCATGTGCCCTAATAACCAGAAAAACTGCATCCTAGTAACCCACGCATGTGAAGGCAGTTCTCAAATCTTGTACTGAGATCAGGCATTGTGTTTTCTTTCAAAGCAAGCAGGAGTCCCAATATTTGCATTACAGAGAAAACAATATACACATCAATAATGCATCCATTGACAAATAGATTATTTTTCTGTAACTAGATCCAGGGATGCATGTAAAATTAATTCATATTAGGAGGTTACTAAAACATCAGCATAAAATACATGTCCTTCCTATATGCCTACCCCAAACCCAGTATTTTTTTACAGAAATGCTTAGATTAGGAAATCTGAAATTATTGCTCGTTACATAGCATGACAGAGGCTCAGAGTGTCTGCTGCTGACAAGCATGGTCAAGTTCAAGTGTACTTTTTAAACAGTATTATTTTACACATACGTACCCAGAAGAAAAATTCTCTTCCCTTTTTAATCTGATTTTCCATTCCTTCATGTGACTTATTCAGGAAGTGTATAAAAATATCGTTTGCAATTTTCCCTCCTGTCACAAACTTCATTAAGTTTTTAAAAATCTGAACTATGATCTTTCCCAATTAAAAACTCCACGTCTAAACCCTTGTTTTTCAACCCTGTTTTCAAGTTAGAACCACCTGGAGAGATGTTTTAACCTGCTGGTGTCTAGACTCCACCCCCCAGAGATCTGGTTTAATTTACTGTGGCAGGCCTGTCATCCACACGTTTTAAGCCTCTGGTACTTCTCATGTGTGGTCTTGTCACATACCGCCCATTTAAGCACACACAGCTTCTTGAGTCTTCAGAGTTGGCATCTGCTCCCGTCACTTTCCACAAGGAAATAAATTAATAAACATGCTGAGTTTTCTGCATTAACCTCTGCTAGGATAAAACATATTCTTCATTCTTATGTTCCAGTCGACTTTCCAGACAGTACGGCTGGCAGCATCTGCAGAAATCGACACCTATAACCCTCAGATATATGTGATCGAGGAAAACACAGTCATGGTGAGCATGTCACATCCCTCCCTGGGGGCGTTAGAGTCTATGAGAGGCGTTCCCTTTCTGAGAACTCAGAATAGGCGTTCTTCTCACCTCCATGTATGTACAAGTATCTCACTGAGACTCTAAAAATCTGACGTTTACGTATGTTGCGCTTTTGGCAAAGATGTTTGCTACCCAGAAAAGTTCAGTGATGTGCTTGCCCCCGTCCACACCCCCTCCCCGCTCACGTTGGCAAAGCCAGGGCGGAAGCCATGATGCAATGAATGGCACAACAAAAGGGGCTCCATCTTGCTTGTGGCTCCCTTCTCCGTGCCAAACCAGCACCACCAGTTCTTCCTTTCTTCTTATGCTTACACAAAACAGTCTAGATCTTAGGCCGTAAAGTCCAAGTCATGCTTAGTTGAATCATGTATCATATTGCAGAGAATTTTTTAAAGTGCTGAAGTATGCTTAATAAATAAGGCATTTATTAGATGGCTTCTTTTTTTTTAGTAGTATTCCTTATAGCTAGACATTGACACTGTGTGAAATGTCCATTCATTAGTCTCACAGTCTAGAAAACTATAAATGCTCCCCTTGATTAAAAAAAAGGTTTTGCAAAGAAATGTATTTTCAGAGAACACAAAGGCTCACTGTTCAAAAAGCTGGCATGGGACAAGTTTCCTTTGCACTGAAACTCTCGTTAGAATACGCCATATTTAGATATAGCGGGATTTCCATGCTCAGCTAATCTGCTGGCAGATCCCTGAGCATTTTCCTCCTAATGCTTTTGTTAGAAACTGGAAGCCAGTTCAAGACGCTGCCCCCAAGGCTGGCCTGGCAGCTGGCCTCTGTCACTGCTGCAGCCTACAGACTCGGTTAAAAAGCCAATGGCCCTGTGAACTCTGGACCTCTCAATGACTGACAGTAGAGTTCACAGCACTGCTGTCCCGTGGAAAATGATTCCACACAACAGAGAATGCTTTTCTGCCTCTGGTTTAGGACCCTCAGCAAAGGACCACACCCTCTCTTCAGAGGCTGGAGCGTGGAAAATCAGAAATGGAGCCAAAGGAAATGCGGCTTCAAACTCAAAGTATTATGAACTTAGCCTAAGGGGAAAAGTACTATAGATATTTTTAAAGTTCATTTTAGAAAAATGTAGTGTTCAGACAATATCTGAACCTCTGCTGAAGTCTTTGTTTTTTCAGAAAGCAGTGTATTAATTGAAAATTCAAATTAACTTTAATGAACCCTGTAAGAGATTTTTCTTGGTTTTCTCTGAGCAATACTGATAACAGAGGCCAACTATTACTTAATTGTGTCTATATAAATATTATTTGAATCCAAATAATATTTTAGACAATTTTTTAAATAATATTTGGAATCCAAATAATAAATTGACATATCCCTATAGGTAGATAAGTGATTCTTAAATTTATTTAAATCCTAGGCCTATTTAAAAATCTAATACAAAAATTTTATACTCATGGATCCATAGATAATCCACGGACCCAACTGGGAAGTTTTGGAAGACAGACAAGTAGAGCTGTAACTGCCATTAAGCAGTCAACTCTATGAATTTATAGTTACTTTATTCCTAAATTTATGAAGACTTATTGTAGCTCTTGAAGATACAAATGAGAATATAATCACCAAAAGGCCAGACTTGAGTTTAGCCCAACTTACACATTCTGTGATGAAAAACAGCTCATCTGCCACTGTAATTCGGTGTCAAGTCAAGTAAATAAGGTTTTGTCCCCTTGTTTTGCTCCAAAATGTAGCTCTTGAATGATAGAGCCTGTGGAGGAAATGGTTGCGATTCTTTCTGCAATTAAAAAAAAAAGGAATATACAGTTTTACTGTTAGAACTCCTAGGGCAGCCGTTCTATTACAAAGTCGCAAAGATTGCCAGGAAGCGGACATAGGGAGTCATATATGTAGGCTCAAGGACAATTTTATCACTGAAAAGGTAAACTTGAGCTCTGAGATCCTCTACTTTTTAACCATCCATATCAAGTAAGCTTGAGTGAGAGTTAAGTGAAATCGATGTGTTAGGAGCCCAATACAAAGTTGTTGTTACTGTTGTTTAATCACAAGGGATTTGGGTTTTGTTTAGTTTGGCCTTTGACTCTCCTCCCCAAGACTGGGTTCCAAGTGCTTTCACTTGATGATGAGACCGTGTGCCAGAAATTGAAGTTCCTATTGCATAAGTAATTAAAGTAATCTGAGATTGTCAGAGATGTCGTATCTGCTAAACACTGCAATTAAAGGGAGGAAACTAGAAAACTTGAATTCCCTGCCTGCACTTTGCAGGAGCATTTCCTCTAGAAATTGTATTGCACAATGTTTAATTGAGCAATGCGATCATGAGCAAGTCACGTCACCTTTCTAGACCGTCATTTACAAAATTAGAGAATTTGACTACACCATCTCTTTTTATTCAGTGCTAAAATTAGTTAACTCAATTGTTGTGTATACACATTTACAGATTCCCATCACGATAATGAAGCCCCACGAGAAAGCGGAAGTACCAACCGGAGTTATAGTGGGAAGTGTAATTGCTGGAATCCTTTTGCTATTAGCTCTGGTTGCAATTTTATGGAAGGTAAGAAAAGTTTCATATTTTAAAATACAGGGCCCCCAAAGACCTCCGTCTTGAATTTCCTTATCAAACAGCAACCTTAAGTTTTATATGGTACCTCCCTCCATCATAAGAGAAAAGGAAATTCAAGTTCATTTGCAAATTCTCACTCACATCTTTGAAAACAATCAATAAGAATTATATCTCTGTGGTCTTGGTCTCTGTCCTTTTATTCAACCTTCCTGTCATCCAGACCCCTGAATGTTTTGTTCAGCTGCAAAGAGTAGACCCTGAAAAATTTAACTTAATGCAATTCAGCTGAATTCCGTGGGTATTAATTTCCCCACTGAGGGGCTGACACCAGGTCAGTAGTCTGCACATTACCCTCTTCAGAGCCTCAGCGACTCCCAGATGTGCTTTAGAGAAAGTGGGCGGGAAAGGGGCCCCTACAAAATAAGCCATAGGTGGCAACATTTTTACATCATCATCTTACAGCTCGGCTTCTTCAAAAGAAAATATGAAAAAATGACCAAAAACCCAGATGAGATTGATGAGACCACAGAACTCAACAGCTGAGCCTGCAGTAGTCCTCCCCGTGTGGGAATTGGCAGCACCTCAGCCTGCGTCTGCTATTTGCGTGAATGGATTTTTTTTTAAATCCCAGTGTTTTATAATGTAATAGATAAACTAGCCTGATATTTTAAGAAAACTGCAGGTCGGTTTGGAAAGAAGAAATTGGGGGGGGGAGGGGAGGGTAGGAGAACAAAGGGACCAAGACTTATTTTATATGGGGAGAAAGTGATCTTCATGCTGGCTGGTCCAGAGTTTACATTACGAATTATAATTACATTATAACATTTCAGAAACGTGAAATGCTTCCAAACATGACAAGTCTTAAAAATATAACCTTTCTCAGATTTTTGGGGAGGAAAAAAACCAGTCACTTAAAATGATTGTTTTTAAACAGCACCTACGTAAGTGGAAACAGTCCACTCATGGTATAGATAGAATTAGCTTGGATATTGATGTTAACGGGATGGGAAAAACACAACACAGCCTTCAACTTAGGCTGCTCATCCCAAGTTGCCACAGAGATGATATTGTGATAATTTTGTTTATACTAAAGGTAAAATTTGCTGTTGTCAGCCCACAGCCGCCTCCTCAGAATCCCTTTCTTGCTCTGATGTATGTATCAAAACATGCTTGACTAACTGGTAGGAGCCTAGAATGTGCTTCCTGCAGAGGAAATCTCAAATTAGGTGGGGGAGGAGGGAATAGTTTAGAGGCCAAAGCACAAAATTTTGTTTAAAACCTGTAATAACATTTATGGTCCAATCCTGTCGGCTGGAGGCCCAGCCTGTGCCAGAGGAAGTAGGAAGTTCCCTTTCTCTTTTAGGCTGCACAGCTGGCTGACTTGACTGGCAGAGACCTAGTGAATTTTTGAAAGATGAGTAATTTCTTTGGCATCTTTCCTCCTTTACTGAACCACTCTCCCACCTGCTGGTGCCCCCGTATTCTAGAAGCCCACTGAAGCCTGCCTTCCTGTCCAGTAGTCCAGTTATCCGCCTTCCCTCGCCCCTTGTTCAAATCCTCCGTTCCCTCTGGGCAGCTGCTCCAGCTGCTCGACACCAGGTGTGGGGAGGAGAAGTCACCTGTTTAACTTACACACTTGCGTGAATTACTGTAAAATCCCCTCCACTTCGGGGAGCTATTTTCATTTATTGCTAAACAAGCAAGAAAAATAAGCTTGAGTGAATTTCTACTTGTTGGAATTTCAAGCAGTGTAAACAAGGCAAAGTAAAACAACATCTCAGGAATTTGAGAACTTATAACAAACATTGGAAACCACCAAATTAGCAGGTGTGCCCTCTGTGCTTGTCTGTTTCTGGAGGACTGAAACATCCAGAAGAGTGACTTTCACCCGGGCAAGATTGTTCACAAGGTAGATCCTTAGGCCCCAACTCCTGACAGTCTTATTTGGTCAGATTGGGATGAGGCCCAGTGAGCTATATTTTAACAAGCGCCCCAGTCATTATGATGTAAGTGGACTACCTTGAGGACCACCACCCATTTCTACTTTGGCACCTTTTCTCTTTTCTGAGCCCACACATTCTCTAGGAGGGACTGGGAGGAAAAGGTGCAGGCAAAGACAGTGGGCGCCATTTTATGTCCGAAACTGCAGACCCAAAGCTTCAGACAAGTCATTCTGCCTCTATAAACTTCAGTGTCCTCATTATCAAGTGGGGTGGCGCTCAGCAGCGATGCTTTTAGCTTTAAAGGTCTACAGTCTGGATTTCTTATAATACAAATAGACAATCCTCTAAGAATTTGACTTGGAAGTCAGAGGAACACAGGTATGTGCCCCTGTGCATCTAGCCTGGACCACCCTCCTGGCCTCGCCCCTGTGACGGCAGTCCAGAGCTGTCTGCACCGTTTAATGATTTATTTTGTATTTGACAAAACAAAACAAACACGGAAAAAAAACAATTAGTCATAAAATGTCAGGGGGTTATAGCAAAAACAGCACGGTATTCTCTTAGATGTGCTAGAGCCCAATTTTAACAACAGCTGTATGGATTCAAACACTTTCATTCCAACAAAATTTTATTTAAAAAAAGTGGAGGAGAAGCTAGTCACTAAGTTAATAGGGAATATTTAATAAACCACATAACTGCTGTAAATATATATACATACTAGTTCTTTGACGTGTTATACAACAGATTGTAGCATGTCATCTTTTTCTTTTCCTCTGCCTCCTCACCTTCCTTAGACAAGCACTAAATTGAGGTCTTGTACACACAGTGAGCTTGAGAGCTTTGACGAGCCTTGGTTTAGGTAAACTGCCTTAACGGCACTGTTTCCATGAAGCAGTTGGATTACTGTACACTAAAAAGTTAGCCACTTGTCTCTGCACCAATTATTACACTAGCACTGAGTTTCTCAACCTTGGCACTGTTGACATCTGGGGCCAGGTAATTCTTTCTTGTGGGGGCTGTCCTGTGCATTGTAGGATGTTTAGCAGCATCCCTGGCATCTACCATCCAGATGCCAGGAGCACCCCTCCCCCAAGTCGTGACAATCAAAAAATGTTTCCAGACATTGTATTATGCCTCCTGGGAGGCAAAATCACCCGACTGAGAACCACCACACTAAGAGCAAGTGGCCTGCACTTTTGCTCACTTTTAAGCAAAGGTGAGTAATCCAGAAATTAAAGAAAAAAAATTGTTTGAAAAAAAACAGTTATATATTCCTATTCAGCCATACTCGCTTTAAAAGTAAGTCGAGTTATGAGGCTTAAATGATGCCATCTTAAAGTTTCCATTTTGTAAATGGTACACAAACAAGATCTATGGAAGGTGATAAAAACGGAGCTGCTTCATGCATGGCTGCCACTCAAGCCTTATCAAATAGTAACACCATAAAACAGTTTGTGAAGAAACTGCATTGCGATTTGAAATTGTACGTCGTTCATTTAGCAGCAAAATGAGATCTGGACAGAAATTTTTTCTAGCTGGCAGTGTTATTTTTATAAAATAGTAAAAGTTATTAACTGTGAAAAGAAAACTAAAACCAAGTTATCAGAATCAAAGTGATTATTATTAAAAATTATTATAAAAGGTGTAATTTTATAATGTACTTATCTATTCTGATATACAGCTATAACTTAATATATGAAAATCTCATAAACTAAGACATCATTAAACAGAAAGCAGGATTCCTCAAAGTGAGATCTCTGGTCCATCTTGAATATTTCAATTTGCACACAGAAAATAATTGTATACACAACTTTTTAGGACTATGCCCTTCATGTACATTAACGCATACTCATTTTAACCAATTTGAAAGACTAAACACCTAGAAGTAAAAGATAAACATGGGGGTAAAGTTTGAAGTAAATAATAATGTTAACTACTTCTTTGAACTTTAAAGAATGAAAATGTAGCCATTATGTAAATATAAAAAGATAGTTTCATATGTACCTTATTTTGGCACACAAAGTCAAAATATAAATGTGTGTGTGTATATCTATATATATATATGTTGCACAATTGTTAGAATTGTATATTTTTTAAGGACAAATTGTCTTGAATGTTTTCCTTCATACATAATGTATAAATCTTTGTTAAGATGTGATATGTATATTGTTTTTGATTAACTGGTTTTTTGTCTTTTTTCTCTCCACCAAAAATATAAAAACGAATGTATGCCTGTCTGTACATCAAGTTGCACAATTCATTTGATTTCTGAGAAACAAAAATCAGACTGTAGTGATCAACATAAATTAGTTAAGAGCTTTTCTCATATTAAAGTAGGAGAATCAAACAGAAAAGTACTATTTAATTGTAAACCACTCTTGTCATACCACATTACTGAATATTATTAAAATCATTTTGAAAATAAAGCTATTTACTTTGGATTTTGAATTTTACGGCTTATATGTTTCATTATATTTATCTTATGCATTTGCTGTGCTTCAGAACACATTCAAGACTCAATATAAGGAAAGTGAGGATGTATCGGATCTCTTACATTACGAGCAGTGACCATAGGATGTTTTGTAGGAAGCCCAACCTGCCTGCCTAGTTTAGGGACCAGGTGTGAAGCCTTGCTCCTCACCAAGTGGTCCATGGACAGGCAGCGTTGCATCACCTGGAGCCTGGATGCAGCTCTCAGGTGCCACCCAGACCTACTGAATTCGAATCGGAGGTTTAACAAGATCCCCAGATGATTCATATTACATTCAGGTTTGAGAAGCACCTCTTTACGGCACCAGCCATCTCTTGAAATAAAATGTGTGCCTGGAATGAAGCAGAAGTCGCCCAACTGCTGCCACATGCAAAACCAGTCCAGCTGCAGAGCTGCTTCTCTGTTTCCAATTTTAGCAGTAAGCAGGAGGGTTCAAATATTTCTATTTTAAGGATTAAATATGCTGAAGTAAACATGCTGAAATTATACACCAAGAAACACGTCGGGCTCATGGACTGGCCATCATCGTATAGACGGCACACTAGTGCAAAGGTTGGGTGGCAGGTGCTGCCCTGTGCATCGATGCACAGACGCCTCCCACTCCCATCGGGATCTCACACGCCCTCCTCGACCCCGCCCATCTCAATCCCGGTGAACAGTCACAACGGGAGCTCACTGCAGAACCACCACCAGTAAGTGTGTTTCGTATGCACTTTACATTAAAATACAACTTTGGGAAAAAAGAACGTTCGTTTTTGTTTTTTCACAGTAGGTTAGGAAATGCTGCTCAACACCTGTATTAAAGCTACCATGTAGTCCCAAACTGGAAAATAATTTTACACTTACTCATTTTTTAAAAAGTAATTGCTTTTACTTATATCACCTTTTAAAAACTAAGAACATTTTTAAAAACTCCTCCCTCATTCTATCATAAGCCTTTAATATTCTAAACTAAGATACCAATTAAAGATTGGAAATCATCTTACTCAACATCAGGGACTAATTTTCATCGTAGGACCACTCCAACCTAACTTGCTTTAAAGAAAACGGCTACGAACTAAACTGAACTTTTTGGTTCTGTGCAAAATAAAACAGACTAAAAATCTAAGACTCAAGTTGCTCTTACTATAGCCCTGGCTCTACTGCCCTCTGCTGGGTGATCTACCTAACTACATCACACAAATCATCAACAGCCTTAAGACAGATCTCGAACATACTCGAGGCTCACTAACTACAGAAGATGTCACAGGAGTAGGGAAGGGAGTAGAGGACCTACCCACTCATTCAGCCAGATACTTTTGTGCATCTATAAGCACTACGACTACACATCAGGTGTGTTTAACTTGGGGAACAATACTTGAACACCAATAGCACTTTTGAGTGCATGTGCTGGTTAGACACTGCAGTGACAGAGACAAAAGTTGCCAATCTCTGGAAGTTTACAGTCTAGTGATGGAGATAAACTGATAGATGTAGAACATCGGGCAGCAGGAAGTGCCACAACAAAATATAAAGCAGAGGAAGGGAACAGGATTCCAGTCTTAAACAGGATAGTCAGAGAAGGCTCTTTGAGGAGGTAACATTTAAACACAGACTGAAATAAAATGAGGAAGCAGACTCTGGGAATATCTGGAGGAAGAGCATTCTAGAAGAAGGGACAGGTAGGGGCCATAAAGAATAAACCTGCCACATACCAGCCACAGCAAAGCAGGGAGCCTAGAGCAAGAGAGGAGGTGAGGGGGGCACAGGCTGTAGGCATGGGGAGGACTGTGAGGTTCTGGGATGTGAGTAGCTATCAGAAGGCTCTGAGCAGGATGACGGGAGACAGAGGAGCGGCAGCAGGGACGCAGTCAGCAGGCCACAGCAATAATCCAAGGGAAGTGGAGGGGTGGCTGGACGACACAGCTGGCAGGGGAATAAGGAAGAGGTACCCAGGAATCGTTCTCTAATTCTCCAATAGGTTCACTCAGGGATCTGAGGTCAAGACTCAACTACTGGCTTCTTAACCACTGTTTCTCCCAACATACTGAAAATATATTGTGACTCTAAACATCATATCCAAAGGACAAAAATATCCACAAAAATCACAAAATATTTCACTCACCATTCGCTGTTACTTTCAAATAAAATTTTCATTTTTCTACCTGTTGAAAAATACTTGAAACATTAAGTAAGTTGAATTTCCTACTTCTTGAGTGAACTTACCTAGCTATCATACAAAGCCACAGTTCCCAAAGCAACTTTGAAACCTTGCGGGCAATCTGCTTCAAGGCTGAATTTTTTCAGGTTACTCTTCTAATCACTTGAGGAGCCAAGTAAGTGATGCTAGCCCCTTATTATCTCAACCACCAATTAACTCTGCCACTCTTAAGAGCAAGTGAGGATCAACTCTAAGTCCAGCGCAGTGCACTCAGAACTTTCAGGGACGTTCCATCCCGACTTCTACATGCCCAAGACTAACTTCTTCACCTCTGTATTGGAGACTTCAAAGCATAATAGTCTGTGTTCCAGACTTAGAATAACGCCTACTTAATGAAGGCATGATTCTTTAAAAACATGTTTAAAGGATGTTTTCTGTTCTTTAAAAATATAATTACCATCAATAAAGATCTTTGAAAGAAATATTGGAGGAGAAAAGTCCCGATATCCACATATACTTCATATTAATATATATGACATAATATACATCATATTAACAACATGAGTATAAAACCCTAGGAATATCTACTGTGGGCCAGTGACTCTGTGATGCGCTTTCAGATAGAATGCAACTGTTTCTGTCCGACCGCCAGACCCCGTTCTCAAATGGGGGCAGGCTAGAGTTTGGTGGAAGGGAGGGGGAGGCACCGAATGCAGCAGAGAGGGTAAGGCCAGGAGCAGACAGGCAAGCCCATCTCGTTAAGAGTGGTAGGTGGAGGTTTGTCTGCCTTCCCAGGACCCTTCCAGCCCAATCTCTCTGAACAGGCGAGGAATAAGCACCAAGTTCCAGGAGATTCCTCAAGTCAATGTGGCTGTTCTGTAGGTCTCTGGCAAAGACAGGACGGATGCTTCCTCACGGTATGTAAGGCTGCTGAACTAGGAGCCCCAGGTGGGTACCCGACATAGAACAGGCATTCAATATTTGTTGAATAAATGAATTCCTTATGTAAAAAACGTTTCACTAGATGTAACAAATAATATTACCAAAAAAAAAATCTAAGCATCTGAAAGTACAATCTTTGTTTCCAATATGCATAATACAAATTTTGTGATATCAATTGCCCAAAATTATGTCAATGTTTTATTTTAAGAGCTATATGGAAAAGATAGTATATCGGCCAAGCAAAAATTGGACCATTAGTGTAAAGATCTCGCAGAAAACTTCATTGTTTATTAATGACTTCATTAATGATAATGCTGAATAAAAGAAAATAAAACTATCTGAAATAATGCTTTAATAAATAACCATATCATTTTCCTTTTTAATTGGTTGTGGATCAAATTTTAAATATCAACTAACATTATCATGCAAAGCACCTCTGTTGCTAGTTTGCCTGGTTTTACAACAATTTTATGCTGATTTGTATAGTGATGCAATACTAATAATTAATAAAATACAGTAAGTGTTATGGTATGATTATAGAATCTGAAATACTAGAAATCTCAATATTATGAAATATTTTGGACATTATCACAATTTTAAAAAACAAAAATACTGCTTTTAAACTTGTTTAATAGTGTTACTTATTTAGGTTATTTTTAAAAATATATAAATTCTAAAAATATACCAAATCAAAACTGGCTTATAATAACTTTTCATATGTCCCAGTTCTGCCAACATTCCCATAATGCATCCCTGATAACAATGAGATCACTGGATGTGGGGGCAGGGGGCGGGGAGCAGGCTCTCTTTGAGACAAAGTCAGTGAGGAGGGGCCATACCTCAGTATCAGTCGCGTTAACAATTAGAACTTAGGCTTGGAATAATATGTCTACCACAGGTATCTTTCCTCACATTTAAATTATTCTTCCATTTCTTCCCTAAAGCTCTTCCTCTACTTCTATAGAGTTCCTGCATAAGTCCTCATCCTAAACACTCATTTATTTTGCTTTTTTTCTCCCTTTTGTCCCACAGGTGTAACATAAGAGATTGTGCTTCAATACACTATCTGAACTTTTGGAGAAGAAAAATCAAAATGTGATCAAAGATAAAAGTTTAACAAATTTAAATTTTAGCACTCTAAAAAACTGTGGTTTAATCATTGGTTGCCCAAAAGCATTCTTTGTTTCTTTTCCAAGATGATGATGACTCTTCATACATTTCCTAAAAAACAGAACCATAACAGGTATTCAAAACAGTATTTTAATAAATGCAAATATATTCAAATAAATCAGGCAAATGAATATCACAACTATTTAAATCTGCTCCTCTTTTAACAATCCAGTAAAGAGTGGGAGCATTGTATTGCTCTCAATAAACCACTGAGAGCAGAAAAGTGAGTAAACATGTTCCCTACACTTAAGGAGTCCCAATCCAGTAGGAGAAACGACAGACAAGAAGCCTTAACAAGATCAGGTGCAACCACAGAATGGAATAAACAATTAACTTCATTTAGAACCATGACAGGAGATAGCCAGGGCAAAGTTATGTAGGGAAGAGGGAAAGTTTTCAGTTTTAAACATTTTTTCCTTTCTAAACACACCCACTCCTCCATGTTGCTCAATATGCTTTTCCAAAGGCAGAAGGGCTATTTCCACTAGCTGTGAAACTAAGTGATCACTGGCAGAAGTTCTTCAATAGGTTTGAGCTGCGCTCTGGTGACAACTGCTCTGTCAGTACGTGCCCTACCTGCCCACCCCTGCCTGCATCACAGATGATCTCAAAGCACGGCGGGGACTAGAAACAGCCTGGAATTTGGATAATTTTTGGAAGAGAGGAGAAAAAGAACATATTACTTTCTCTCCTCACTCAATAGTCAGGTTCTATTCCTGAGGGATAGGAATCCAAATTCAATACTCCTCTAACACCTGTACACCCTCCCACCTTCTACAGACAGAAAAGGAAATAGGGAGGCCAGCTAGTCCCCAAAGCATAAAAACACGAGTACGGCCAACTCCTCCCTGCTCCCTTATCCTGGGGGCCTGCCCTCTCACCTACCTTCTCTCAGCGGGCTGTCCATTCTGTCCTTCCGGGTGAAGCAAGCTACGCCTGCCCCCCAGGCCCACAACTCATTGTGGAATGCTCTTCCTACCCCTCCCTCTTCAGGGGCCTGCCTTGCTGTCTATCAAAATCGTGGCAGCCTTGTTCACAGGAAGCAACCATTTATCAGAACTTCACTAAGACAGTTTCCTTTCACATATCCTGTCCCAAAGTTTCCCCTTATAACAATGGGCTTCAGTTTTTACTCATAAAATATGGTCACTAAATTTCACAGGCCCTGGTTGGAGTCCAATTTGCTCATCTGTACCACTGACTGAGGCAGTAGGCTCCTAGGAAGGACTTACCCTCTGGTCCTCTGCTCCGGCCTTCTGACCTACTAGGTGGTTAATTCATTCCTCAGCTTTGCTACCAGCCACAATGCTGTGGGCAATTCTAGATTCTTAAGTGTAATTACACATTCGAGAGTTCAGAACAATCCCACTGTGGTGTTACTACACGGGGGGGAGAAATTAGGGAGTTCGATCTTTTCATCCCTTCAGAATGCTCTATTTAACCAGAGAACTGTTTGCTTTTATTGATGGGTTTGACGTATCAACAGAAAATAAGCTAGAATTTCCTATTTATGTGTTTAAATCCCCGCACTATGCATTTTCTCTGAGGAGGCAATACCCCACCCTTTTCTTTTCTAAAAAGGAGTTCTAGGAGAAGGCTTTTTCGCCTTGAGGAATCTCTATTTTAGCCATTACCTAAATAGCCATGCATTATTCCCACTCTCCAAAACAGAGACCCTCTAAGTCAAGGGAATTCTAATCCAAGAGAAATGACTTATATATGAACCACTGGAATGGTCCAGACTAGGAATTCTAATTGTTACCACTCGTCGAGGCCTACTCTGTGCCATGCATTCTGAGGCATGAGTTTTTCACGCTTAACAAACCTCGGAAAGGAGATATTACATAAACATCCTATTTCACAGATACAGAAAACAAGATTCTATAGGGTCAGAAGAGGCCCATGAATCAAAGTCTGTATGTACTCTTATGCCCTAGCCTTTAAAAGGTCCTGGGAGAAATCACGTCCAAATGGCAAAATGAGATATCTCCTTAACTTACCTTTTTCCATATGGGCACCTTGGCTTTCAGAGTATCAATGGCATAGCTCACAGCCTCAAGGGAGGCAGCTCTGTGGGCCGAGGACGCAGCAATGATGACGCTTGCTTCCGACACTGGAACTGAGCTTCAACAAAATGAAGAAAACAATTTACCATCTCCTCTGAATCCACACGTTCAAGAATCGACAACACAGATAAAAACTCCAGTGAAGCATTCTTAGGCCATCCAGTTCTGTTTTTCTTAAACATCCAGTTTAGTTAGAAAACAATACTTCATCCCAGTTGCATTCAGCAGAGGGGATGCTGAGGTGGTGGCTAATTTGTGAGCATCTAGCCACTAAACCTATTTGCTGGGCACCACGAAGACAGACCTTTCACTGATTCAACAAACATCTCATTCAAACCAACAAGGCACAGAGCCAGGTGATGCCTGGAGACACAAAGTTACTGCATGCCAGTATAAGACAAAGTTGAAAATATTAAATAGCAATCAATATTAACAGAATTGATAACAATATAATCAATGATTAATAAAATTATAGTTATTAATAACAAAATAATAACTAATAGACTATAACAGATACAGTCTCAATTGCTGGATTCTTTTTTAAACCTAGAACTCCACTCTTCCTAGTGCCACAAAAAAGCAAACTAATTTAATGATCTTCAAAGGCATTTATATAAAAAAAAAAGTCTCTTAACAGACTGTCATATAAACAGAGTCTGGACTACAAAACAATTCTTAAAAGGCCTCAAGGACTTTGGCACACATCAGCACAGGCTGTTGGGCGCAGGGCCTAGAGTTTTGGCACATTTGGACTTTGCCACAGCACCAGGCACTCTCCAAATGTTACTACATAACAACCACCGGAAGGCATCTCTATTGTCCACCAGAATAATACACAAACCTTCCTCTCATGGTGATATAGGATCCCATGAAAGATTCCAGAATCAGAATTAGTACAAAGGCAGAAAACCATTATACTTAACTTTTAAATGGATAAAAGAAATCATACCCAAGTCTATGGAACACTGCCATGTGTTTGACTGGCCATTTCTGTCTAATGTCACTACAAATTTTTCTGATTTCATTTTCTGCCATGGGTAGATATGCTTCATATTCTAAGCTAATGACTTTTTTCCCTTCAAAGTTATTTCTTGTAGTTCCTAAAAAAGAAAAAAAATTGCAATTAAAATAAAGTTTCTCCTTACAATAGAAATAGCACACTAATAGAATAAAAAAGGATGATTTTCGAATAGACAGATAGCATATCAATTTATCTAAATATTACTTTGTAATTTTCTAAAAATGAAAACCTCATTAGAAAAACAAAAGATAATTACCACAAAGACAAGGAAATAAAATGACACTGATTAGGCAAGCTTACTGAAAACACTCATACGACAAACCAGGTTATATTCCTTTTCTAACCAACAGCACTTGATATGTAAAAGGAAACCATTATGTTCTAAGGAGTATCATTAAGTTATCATCATCACCATTTTTTCCCTGAATATTTGGAAAATATAGAATTCTCTCTCCTAATAATGACTTTTATCCTATTTTTCATATTGCTTTAACACAGGTTAACTTGAAGGTTACTAAAACAAAACAAGAAGTAAAAAAATTTCTACCCACCATCATCGGTAATCTTGGTTTATTATTCAGTATCTTAAAATCCTCTGACCATTAATACTAACCAGGCGAAACCCTCGCTAATTTCTATTGTCTTGCGCAGTCAATAGATGCTGTAAAAATGACAACTCACCTACAAACAGGGATATTGCACCACAGCGTGGAGAAATCACCAACTGGGAGACTTCATCTACTGAGAGTTTCTCAGCAGTGAATTTTATTATATCTTTAGATTTCTCCTCAACTTCATTCATATCTTTCCTACAAATAAGATGTTAATAAACCTTAACATTGGTACTGGAGGCAAAACATCCAACTTATACGTTGTCTCAATTTATATTTTTTCTACATGAGTTGTATTAGGAGGCATGATTTAATCTGAACGATAAAAATACGCAAGTGTAAAATTTTAGCAAAACTCAACATATTTATAAATATCCCTAATGAATCAAGCATGATATAAAACTGAATTTACCATTAACATGATCACTTAAAATGTAATCTATCTCATATGCCAATTTATTCCAAATTCTAGAACTGCTCCTTTTATCTCCCATCATGGTACAGTTCAGATATTGACACCTTCATCCACATGCACATCACCTCTAGCCAGTGTATTACCAAGCACCATACCTAGAACTGCCTTTTTCTTTATCTAAAAAGGAGAGAGGAAGAAGAGAAGTGATGGTGACTCCATAGGAACTGGGTTCATTTCACAACCGGGCACAACCCTGGTAAAATAACTGACGAAATAAGGAAAGGAGCTGTACACCAATCCATCAGGTGCTGTGCCAAGTCCTTTCCCATGCGTTTCTTATTTCATTCATCAAGCACTTATTACACACAGTACTCACTGAGGGCCAGAGACTAGTGCCAGGCACTAGATAGAGACCAGGCGGAAAAATACATTGCTCCTACCCTCAGGGCACTCATACTGGAATGGGAGAAACAAGGCAATGAATAGGAATTACAAATAGGGATAACTTATGGAAATAACCCGGGTTCTGAGACAGAGAAGGGGGGTGACGCTGGGGAAGGGGCTATGTAAGATAAGAAGATCTTGGAAGGCCTCTCACAAGAGGTAATATTTAAAGTTGAGACCTGAAAGATAAGAAGGTAGCCCAGTAAAAAAAAACAGGGCAACAGGCCCCCAGGCAGAGACAGAAGGAATGGCAAAAGCCAAGGCTCTGGGACAAGAAAGAGCACGGTGTGTCGCTCCAGAATCTATGGGGAGATCAGAGCCCAGGGAGCAAGGGAGAGAACCAGTGGGCTGAGGCTGGGCAGGTGGGTCGGACCTTGCAGACCATGAAGAGTCTGGATATAATCATAACTCCTGTGGGGTTTCACCAACATTGAAAGATGAAAGAAAGAAGGCTCAGAGGGGTTAAGGACTCACTCAAGGTGATTCCAACCGAGGAATCTTACTAAATCCAGCGTTCTTTTCCCTAGCTCCTTCCAGCTACTGATGAGAAAAACCCAATTATTCATATCCCACGGGTTCCCAGAGGTTTCAGCTCCCGTACGGGCCACCCGAGCTTCTTCCACTTCTTTTTCTTGCAATAAGATATAGGTAACCCAAACACGGTCCACGAACTTCAGACCATACACATTCCCACAACAGGATTCCATAAGGACACAGACAGGTTCTAAAATTACATATTACAACTCCTGTCAAATACACTCAAATAATACACAATGCTTTGAGTAATCTTCCTAATCTTTCCAAAGAACAGCTCTAATCATCACTCTCTCGTGATAAATAAATGAAAAGCAATAAGATACACCAGAGTATATGAGGAAGCCATTTGGTATAAAACTAATTCAGCCTGATCTTGTTTTTCCAAAAGGGCCTGACGTGGCCTACTGAGCATGCACTGTACATCCACTTTAAACACTTACTATCCCAAAGACAAGAATGATGCCCTTAAAGATAGAGATGTAGCCCCACCCCTTATCGGTATTTAAGGACAGGCATTTCTTCCTTGAAACTAAGGATTAATTACCAACCTGCTGTGCTCACCTTGTGACCAGTGACCTGCTGTGCCAGCTAAGCATCTCATGACAGTAGCAAAAGAGAGATTTCTGTCATATGTGATGTATGCTCTTTGTTTCAAGACGGTATATAACCCCTCTTGTACACTCCATTTCTTTGGTGCCCTTCTTTCCTTGGGGAAGGGAGGCCCCGGGCTATAGTCCTCAAACCTAGCTCATGATAAACTCACCCCAATTTTGATTTACAGACTGATTATGGATTATTTGCAGGCAGACACACACACACACACACACACACACACACACACACACACACACACATTTAATGGCAGCCTGTGTTTTCTGAATATATTCCAAACTCTAAAAAATAGCATTTTTTGCAAATCATGGTGGTGATGTGGTGACCACGGTCTCCAAATAAAATTGAGATACATTTCTAACAAGGAATTCTCCTATTATTTCCAAATAGTAGGACTAAGAAAGATCCCATCTCCATCCACATACTGGGCAATTTGCTTTGCAATATTTATTCTTCACACTTTGTGGCACTGCTCTCCAGGAGGGCGGGGGGGGGGGAGGGGGATGGGTGAAAAAATAAACAGGCTTCCTTAGCTTGTTTCTTTCTTTAATGAAAACAAGGATTTGCTATTGAGTATGATACTTACTCTTGATTTTGGAGAAAAATCCCATCAAATTAAGAAAGTTTTCTTTCCTTCCTAACTTACCAAGAGTTTTTAATTAGGGATGATTGCTAATTTCTACATTATTTATTCTTCAGTTGACAATAAATTAAGCCTCCTTCTGCCTCTCCAGACTATGCTGAGAAATGTTGCCACATCATCCTACTCAAATAGGGACTACATTGTTTGGAAAGATGGAAACATGACATGGGTCACAGGTCCCCCTGCAACACAGCTATAATAATAAAGCTGTTTCTTTATACCTGGAAAATACTAAGACTTTTTTTCAGGCACAGTGATCTTTTAACTTTTCAGCTAACAATTTTTTTCTACCTTTCTCTGTGCCCAGGAGAGCTATTATCCAGTACTAATAAGCATATTTGTGAAAAAGTACACAGAGAGTCCAATAATCTGAGTTCAAATGTTGGCTCTGCCACTTATTAGCTATGTAATCACAGACAAGTGTTTTTAACTTCTCCGAATTTCAGTTTTCCTCCTGCAAAACAGGGATATTAATACTCCAGTATCCAGCACTGTGCCTAATACATAATAAAATCTCAATAAACCAGGTTAAGTGAATAAAATGAACATATCCAACTGACATTAAATTAAGCTGCTTACAACAGAATTGATGCAGAGATGATAGGTAGGTATTTATAAGTCTGTGTGCACCAATAACGAGTTGCTTCTTTAATAAAGGGTTGGTGCAGACAGACTCACGAAGAGTATACAGTTAAAGCAAACCATATATAAGTTATCACCTGTATGATCCTTCTCCCCAAGACTGGTTAAAATATCTCACATACCCAACTGGCTCAAAAGAACTACCCTCCACTGATAGGGGGGATAACGGCAATTTCGTCTCCTGACTGAAGCCAGAGGAGCTGATCTCCAAGCTCGACATATTCTTGACGAACAGCAAATATCACCTGATTTCTGACATCAGCCAATCTGAAGGGAATAAAGAATAATTAGCTATCAATGCTGTTAGACCTCAAATTTCCTGCGCTACCATTAAAAATATTACATAAAAGTTACTTTAGGAAGCATCGTCTGCAAAGTTACTAATTAAACTAACTCATATTCTGCAGATAAAGGACAGATCCCCTGAAGAACACACTTATTCACCAGCAAGAACAGAGTCAACTGCTAACAACTCTTTATGGGATGCTGTACGTCTTGGGTAATTAAACAAACAAAAAAAAAGAACGCCAGACTAAAGATAATATTCAGATCAGGCCAGGAAAAAAAAGAAAAATTTCCTAATCAGCACATGCTCTCCCCAGGCACCTTCCATCTAAGTATACAAATTTTACGTTTTCTTAGTATACAAGTATACTAAGTATAACATGGAAGTTTCCCCCAAGAGCAGGTGTCTCCCAGCAGGTGAAAGATTAAAAGTAAAGTAGGACAGAGGCCTCACCATGTTTCATTGATAATCAGGGCACTTGAAGAGCAGCTTGATAGAGATAAAACCAAGGAGGAGGAGTGTCTTTTACACAGCATTAGGACTTCCAAGTTAAACATCTATACGGACTTAAGTGACACTATCAATATTCCTGAACTAAACTATACTTTGTTCCAAAAAAAAAACCAATGTAGGAACAACAGCAGTAAAACAGATTTTCAAAAACCAGAAAAAAATCAAATATTGCAAAACTCAAATTCAGCAATAGCTAAGGTTTATCTTTCATTTTTCTTTTAATCTTAGAAATTTCTATTTTGAGTTCTCTAAAGAAGGGGCAGGACATAAAAGTTTAAAGCAGACATTTTTAATAGAATTTCTAACAATTTCAGTTAACGTTATAAAAGTGAAAAATCTACATTTTCAGTATTTTGTAAATTATAAAAGCAAACATAATCATGTCCATGTGGGAGTATCCCAGCTCACTGTGTTGTTTTAGTAAAATATCTTTAGCCTTCCTTAAGGAATTGTGTATTTTTAAATACCAGAATTTAAGTTTTCAGTAGTTCCAGAAAAATACAACTAATGACCCTTTCTGACATTAAATATGATATCAAAATTAACTTTTTTTACTTTTTTTTACTTTTATCATTTGCTCATTTATACGTTTTTTAAATATTAAAAAGTGCTAATCATATGCATTCTACAAAGTTTTAACTACCCAGGATGTCGTGTTTCTATCTCATTCCACAGCTGCAATGCTTTTATTTCCTGTGGCACAGAAATGGTCTCTGAGCGAATTCCTGCTATTTCAGCACTTTTTGCAAAATACAACACTTCAACCTGCAAAGGAAAGAACATGCTTTTAACAATAAAAAACTCATAGCACTTTTCTGACTGTTCAGGCTGGGTTTTCTTGTTTTCCAAATGTATAACTTTAATCAAAGACAAATTTTATAAGTTAAAAAAAATTAAACTAGCTATAAAAATTTCAGATATATCTACAAGTACAAATTTTGAAAATTTTTATGTTTTAAGCACAATTCAGACCAATTTCCGGATGCTTTTTGGTTTTACCAATGAAAGTGTGCCACAAATAAAATCCTAACAATATTTTCTTTAGAAACCATGTAGTTGGTCTTTAATTGACATAAAATTATAGCACCTTTTGTAAACACTTAAGCAGTGAATAAATGTCTGAGTCAAGAGATGAACTACACAAACAAGATAAATGACCAAATAAGAGAAAGACACGTCTTTCACGGCTGTCATATGACCTTCGATTCCAGTCTACACTACATTGAACCCAGCTGCCTAGGATTAAGTTATGCAACATACAAACCTTGACACTGGGTAAGTCTGAAATACAGGATAAACTGGTATTTCCCAGGACAAACCTATGCCGTCAGCCTGCTATGTACGGGATCCGACCAAGTAAAATAACCCACCTGTCACTCAGCGCAAATTATTCTCTATGAAATAATAAGAGGTTTGCAAACAATCAAGGGTTTGCAAACGCACAGACGAAGCACAAGGATTCACAAGGATTCTGAGTTAAGTGCGTTTCTTTATAAATTGAAAACTTGTCTTCGTCAAAACGAATCATCTGAGAAGGAGGGGGCAAAGATCAAGGGTGCCTTTAGAAACCAGCGGGTCTTCGACGCCGTCACCCGGACACCAAGCGTTCGCAGACTGGACATGACCTCCCGAGCCCGGAAGGGCCACAGCGGCAGTGGCGTTCGCGGCCCCGGACGGAAACCGCCGGCCAGGGAGGCTGTAGGGGGGAGTTCGGCTGAGCAGGGCTGGATCTGCGCAGTGGCAGGGCGGGGGCAGACACGTCCGACAGGGCTCCCCACCCTTACCTGGCACCGCAGGACCATCGCGCCCGCGCTCCCCTGGTCCGGAATCCCGGCCGCGGATCGCGGGGGCGCCAGGTCGACCGAGAGCGCAGGCGCAACCTGACGGCTCCTTCCGCCCACACGAGGCATGCGCAGAACTAGCTCCGCCCCGCTGTCCTCTCCGCTGGGTTCCCGCTGCGGCCCGCTCCGCCGAAAGCTTCGTTTGCTGTGGCTTGTGGATCGCGGGCGTGAGCGTGAGCTATAGGTGTCAGTAAATGGGAAAAGGGCTGCCGATGCATGCCCGTCTCCTCAGACGAGAGGCCGAGGGGCAGGAAGAGCAGACACCGCACTCTTCCGGACGCTTGCCACCTGCGTTGTGAAAGTTGTGCTTTTCCTCTCGCTCATCTGTAGGCTTCTCTTTGACGCTTGTTATTTACCCGGCCATCCGGTATATGATACCTGTTCCTTAAAAACTGGGAGCATTCAACTTATGAGAGCATTTGAACTGTATCAGATTTACACTTTTCCTGTTTACTAGCTGCTCGGTAATTTGTCCGCATACTATCCATCCAACATTTCTCACATTTTACCAACAAGAACTCTGTTTTAAAAATTACTTGCGTAGTTAGTGGATATAAGCTAGGCGCCCCTCCCCTAGGAGCTCCCAGTCCTGGATGTGAGACAGTCATAAACCATTAATGGTAACTTTGTGTACCAAATGTAATGCTAGGGATACGTGTTCCATCTCATGGGAGGGGAACGGCAAAAGGGGCTGGTCACCTGAGGCGTGTGCTCTAGGACGTCTTCACCGAGGCGATGCTTCCCTCTGCAAATGGCAGAGTCAGGGTAGGCATGAGGGAAGTTTACTAGCCTGTGACAAGCCAGAGGGATATGAAGCAGCGTAATGAGGACACAGAAGGACAAATAGTTGGCAGGGGGTGCGTGTCCCCTGCCAGGAAGTAGTAGGACATGAGGCTGGAGATAGCGAGTAGCCCGTGGCAGGAAAAATTGAAAAAGACTAACACCAACATATATTCTGGTGAAGTTGCTCAACATCAAGGATAAAGAATGAGATGACAATGGCCTTAAACTCGTCGGTAACATCCAATGCTGGAGGATGGTGGTGTGCAATATCTAAAAAAGGCTGAGAACAAAAGTATGACCCAAAATGTTACGTAAACCAAGCTGGTGTTGATAAAGGCCAAGGCCGGACACTCCTAAACCTGCAAAAACTCAAAAAATACAGAAGTCTAGTCAATCAAGAAAGTAATCAAACTAAATAACTCAGTAATAAAGAAGTTAATGGTAAAAACAAAAAAACTGGAGGTGAGATTTTAATCCATTTAAATATAAAACAAAAACATCCCTTGTGAGATTATGGGTATGGAATAAAACGTAAATGACATCAGAATATTTTAAAAAATAATATATAAAGAACTCATGCATCTCAACAACAAAAAAACTAACAACCCAATTAAAAAATGGGCAAAAGACCTGAACAGACATTTCTCCAAAGAAGATATACAGATGGCCAACAGACACATGAAAAGATGTTCAAAATCACTAACTATCAGGGAAATGCAAATCAAAACTACAATGAGATATCACCTCACGCCCGTCAGAATGGCTATAATTAACAAGACAGGAAACAACATGTGTTGGAGAGGATGTGGAGAGAAGGGAACTCTCATACACTGCTGGTGGGAGTGCAAACTGGTGCAGCCGCTATGGAAAACAGTATGGAGATTCCTCAAAAAATCAAGGATAGAACTACCATATGATCCAGCTATTCCACTGTTGGGTATTTATCCAAAGAACATGAAAACACCAATTTGCAAAGGTACATGCACCCCTGTGTTCATTGCAGCGTTATTCACAATAGCCAAGACTTGGAAGCAACCTAAGTGCCCATCAAGGGACGAATGGATAAAGAAGCTGTGGTATATATACACAATGGAATACTACTCAGCCATAAGAAACGACGAAATCCAGGCATTTGTGACAACATGGATGGACACTGAGGGTATTATGCAAAGTGAAATAAGTCAGAGGGAGAAGGTCAAATACCGTATGATTTCCTTCATTAAGTAGTAGATAATAACAACAATAAACAAACACATAGGGACAGAGATTGGATTGGTGGTTACCAGAGGGGAAGGGGGGAGGGAGGAGGATGAAAGGGATAATTCAGTACATGTGTGTGGTGATGGGTTGTAATTAGTATTTTGGTGGTGAACATGATGTAGTCCATGCAGAAATGGAAGTACAATGATGTACACCCCGAAAGTTTTACAATGTTATAAACCAATGTTACTGCAATAAACAAAAAATTAAAAAAAAAAAATAATAGAAACTGCCCAAAATTGGAACATATGGTTACAAGACATCGACTCAAGCCTCTTAATATTTTCATAATCTTGTTTCTTCATTTTAGAAGGATCTTTTAGGGCAACTATATCTTGCAAATAAATAATAATCTGATGATTTGTAATTCCTTCAGCTTCACTTTAGTTATTTTGTTGTTGTTAAATCGAAGTAAAAATAAATTAAAATCTAAAAAAGAAAAATAGTATATAGTATAATTGCATTTTTAAAAATTATGTCTGTGAAATTAATACCCAGAAAAAAGAGATGGAATAACATTCACCAAATGATAACAGTTACTGTATCTGGGTAGTGGAATTGTGGATGATGTAAAAAATACTTTTGCTTTCCTCTTTATAAATTTCTGTGTAGCTTGATTTTTAAAAGTAATTTGTCTATTCTATAAATATTTATTGAATGCCTGTTGCTATTTAAGCGCCAGAGATACATCTGTGAACTATAAAAATATGGTCCTTGCCTGGTGGAGCTTACTTTCCAGTTAAGAAGACAGACCATATGTAAGAAAACAAATAACAGTTTGCGACGAGTGCTAAGAAAGAAAGGAGCAGGGGAGGAGTGCGGGGCACATGCGTCACGGTCAGGAGGGAATGAACAGTGCCTGAGCTGAGCTGAGACCTGAAGGACGAGAGGAGCCAGCCTTGTGCAATGGTGGGGGAAGAGGGTTCTTCCCCAGGACAGAGGCAACCTGGCTTTAGGTCAGGAAAGGACTCAGCACATTTGAAGGAAAGAGAGGCCAGGGTGTCTGAAATGTAAGGAAAGGGAGACAGGCCAGTGAGAAGATTTTGAAGAGATTAGAGGGAATCTGAACATACAGATCCTGGGAGGTCCTGAAAGCCTGTTTGGATTTTATTCTACTTTTCAGTGGGAAGCCACATGCACACACACACACTTTTGAAGACGTGATTCTGCATCTGCTTAGAGCCATTGTGTGAATAGCCTGAGCACAAACAGGTCTGAAAAGGAAGCCAAGGAAGACTTATCTGTGGACTTTTCAGTTGTGTGAGGTAACAAATCCTTTATTTTGCCCAAATATTTTCTGCCATCATTTTTAGCTATTAAGTAACATCTAGTCCTAGGTATCTGGTCCTATGTTTTGGCCATTATCAGGAACTCTTCAAGAAATGTTACTTAGCTTCAGTGACTTGAAGCAAGTTGAGACCTATACTCATGCTATGTTAAAAAATAGAGGAAATCAATTTTCAAATCTCAGTCCACATGTACCCCTTTATTAGTAAGTGTAGCAGAATTTGTGAAAAGTGAGAATATCTCTGTCTGAGGAAGTTTGAACTGTGTGGTGTGAGATCTCTCTAGACATTTGACTAATATCCTTAACATATTTTTGGTAGTATTTGAATTTCTTATTAAAAAATAGATGAGGCAGTAGTTATTTTTAGAAAGACTAGTTCAACATAAACTCATCTGGAATTCCTTGTTTTAACAGATCACCCAGAATTTCAAGTGCCTTTTTATACAAATGGCTTCTAATGACATAGAGAATAGCATCTACTAATAAACAGCCTAGCAGAGAGCCTTGTACCTTGTAGGTGGACAAAACATTGTTGATTTGGCTTTGTGATTGAATTAAATTATTTACAAAATACCACATTCTTCTTGTGTAAT